CCTCAAACTAGCACTTCTCTCCTACCTCTTAGCCTTCGCATACTCTCTTTCCTCTGGACTATTACCACACCCACCCCACCCCCAACACACACACACACACATGGCTGACACCTACCCTTTATTTATGTCTCTGCTTAAAAAAAGCCCCACCCCCACCTCCCAGTCTAAAGTAGGTTCCCTTCATGTCGCCTCTCATTAAAAAAAAAAAAAAACCTGTTCCTTCTTCCTAACACTTGTCACAATATGTCCCTGAATTTCGTTGGGTTGGTTTTCTTATGCCTGTTCCCCTAACCAGACCATAAGCTCCACAAGGACAGGGACCGGGTCTTTCTTCAGCACCTTCTGCAGAGCCTGTCTGACCCATAGTAGGGACTCAATATAAGAGTCATTGCATGACGGCATTGGGTGAGTTTAGAGAGAACCTACTGTGTGCAGAGGAGGGGGCCTGATGTCTTATAAGGATTTGCTCATGAATGTAATTGAATAGAACTGCCTCTTGAAGCTTTCAATGTAGTAGAAAGAGATAAAGAATGTGCATGAAGAATTTTAACGCAGGGGATGAGTCATGGAAGAGGCGAGGAGGAAATGCAAAGGGAGAGCCGGGTTTGAACGCTGGCCGGCCCAGCCCTAACTGCTGGCCGGCCCAGCCCTAACTGCGCACGTTGGATAAGCCACTCTATCTCCATGAGCTTTCATTTCCTCACTGGTGAAATGGAGCTAATAAAACCCGAGAGAGGAGGAAAAACACGATTACCATGAAATTGCTTTAAATTGTTCAAATATATCTTCAGAGCTCTGTGAAAAGTTTTTTAAATAGATAAAATTATTGTAAGAACTGAAATCAATGTGATTTATTGATGCAATTTTTTTATAGACAGAGCCAAGTAACAGAAATTAGTAAACAATTTAAAAATGTGTATTTAGGAAAGTTGAGCTTTGTCGTGTCATTATGCGGATGAAATGAGACAATCTGTGTGAAGTCCACCTAGAAGGAAACCTGACGTAGGGTCAGTGACTATCTGGGTGGCATGCGATAATCTTTGTTGAAGAGGTTGATGTTTAAACTGTGAAAAATGTATAGGATTCCAGTATTTTAATACTATAAATATTAGACACAGTTTTTAGCACTTGACTATACTCTTCCTGTTTCTATGGCTACATAACAGATTACCCCCAAACATCATGGTGCACCACAGTCATTTATCATGCTGACAGATTCTGTGAGTCTGGACCAAGCACGGTGGGAACAGCTGGTCTCTGCTCTTTGATGACTGAGGTCTCAACTAGAAGACCCAAAGGCTGGGGGCTGAAATTATCTGAGGGCTCACATGTTCACTCACATGTCCAATGTTGATGCAGGCCATCCTCTGGGACCTCAGTTCCTCTGCACAAGAGCTGTTCCTTTGTCTGTGTGAGCTAGATTGAGCTTCCTTACAATATGGCAGCTGGATTCCAAGCAGCAGTGTCTGGAGAGCCAGGTGGAAGCCATATCCTTCTGATGACCTAGCCTTGAAAGTCACATAGCATCACTTCCAGCATATTCTACAAGTATAGTCACAAAACCCCCAGACTCAAGGGGGAGGGGTCTTAGCCCCCACCTCTCAGTGGCAGGAGATCATGTTGAATGGGAGATAAATAGTAAGGTAGCCATCGCTTTTTTTTTTATTGAAGTATAGTTGATTGACAACGTTGTGTTAGTTTCAGGTGTACAACAAAGTGATTCAGTTATACATACATATATATATATATATATTATTTTTCAGATTCTTTTCCCTTATAGGTTATTACAAAACATTAAGTATAGTTCCCTGTGTTATACAGTAGGTCCTTGTTGTTTATCTATTTTATATATAGTGTGTATAAATTAATATATATTAATTAAATTTATTAAATATATATTAATTAATAAATATAATTAATTAAATTAATATATATTAATTAGTTATTTATATATTAATTAATTGTTAATATATATTGATTAATTATTAATAATATAATTTAATTTAATATATTAATTAAATAAATTAATATATATATATTTTTTATATATAGTGTGTATAAATTAATCCCAAATCCCTAATTTATCTCTCCCCCCTTTCCTCTTTGGTAAGCATAAGTTTGTTTTCTATGTCTGTGGGTCTATTTCTGTTTGTATATAAGTTCATTTGTATCATTTTTTTAAATGTAGACCATTCTTTTTTTTTTTAATAGATTTTATTTATTTATTTATTTAGGCTGCGTTGGGTCTTCGTTGCTGCGCGCGGGCTTTCTCTAGTTGTGGCGAGCAGGGGCTACTCTTGGTTGTGGTGTGCGGGCTTCTCATTGCGGTGGCCTCTCTTGTTGTGGAGCACGGGCTCTAGGCTCACACACTTCAGTAGTTGTGGTGCATGGGCTTATTTGCTCCGTGGCATGTGGATTCTTCCCAGACCAGGGATCGAACCTGTGTCGCCTGCAATGGCAGGCAGATTCTTAACGACTGCACCACCAGGGAAGCCCAAGGACATACTCTTCTTAACTCCAATTTACAGAAGAGGAAGTGAAAGCTCAGCGAAGTCAAAATTTTGCCCAAGGTCGTGCCTTATAAGTAACAGAAGTGGGATTTGAATTCAGGTCTCAGTGACTCCAAAGCCACCACCGTTACATTTACTGCTTGCCCAGTGAGGACAAGGTTGCCAACGTCAGGTTTCATTTCTTGAGACACTTACTTGACTAGATCCTCCCGGGATGCTATTGAATCGTGGTGCCCTGGTGAATCATGGCTTGCTCTGGTGGCGTTCCAGGCAGGGTCCCCCACACAAAGAAAGGCCCCGAGGTGAGAAGTGGGGTGTAAGTAATTCATTGTGGCGGGGGACGCAGGACGTGGTGTGGGCGATAGGACAAGAAAGGTTGGTTGGGGTCAAATTAGGCAGAGACCTTGAATCCAGGCAAGGGAATGTAGACTTTCCTGGGGCAATGAGGAGATACCGGAGGATCTGAGCAAGCCAGAAAAATTAATCAGGAGCAGTGTGGGAGATGGGGGAGGCGGATCCAGTGTAGGCGTTGGTGTAGGGGCGGAGTCCGTGCAGCAAGTGATGGGGCGAGCACGTGGGTGGGGCCTGGGAGAACAGAGGGGCCGTGGTGTGGGCAAGGAAGCACCACGAAAGGCTCCGAGGATCTGAGCCCAGGTGATCTGGGCAGGTACAGGTGGGGCAGCTATTAGCAGAGCTGTGAAAGCAAGAAGGGAGGCTTGGCAGGGAGGTAAGAAGTACCCAGCATTTCCTGTGGCAAGTTGGGTGTTGAGTGTTGGAGCTCAGGGAGGAGCCAGGGCAGATGTGAGAGCCTTTGCAGAGAGACTATGGCCAAAACCATCAGATTGGGCAAGGCCTCCAAGGGGGAATGTGGCCAAGAAGAGATTCAAGCCCAGGGCTTTGGAAAACGAGAGTGTAGGCCGGTGGTCCTAGAACTTCGGCGTGCAGCAGAAGCCTCGGGAAGGTGAGTCAAGGACTCAGAGACCCAGGCACGTTGAAGCAGGGCCTTTCCGTGCCCTAGAGGACGAGGGAAGGGTGGGAGCAAATTTCTGGGCTTACCGTGTTCCCTAGGGATTCTGAGACCCACCAAAGTGTAAGAACCACTGGCTTCAGCCCAGCGGTACTTCTCGGCCTTGGCTCTTGTTGGAACACCCTGAACGGCTCTAGAAACACCGATGTCTAGAAACACCCCAAAAGGCTCTTACCTCTGAGAATATTAAAGGGGGTTCTAAGGGGCAGTCATGTTGGGGACTCCTGGCTGAAGGAGACGAGGAAGAGCAGTGGTCTTGGAGGGGTTAGGAAACAAATCAAAGCAGCAGGAGACCCATATGGCTTAGCACGCGGCCCCCTTGATCCAGGAGGGAACAGGTGGGCAACGGGGACTCACAGCCAGTTTTCGGTGGTCTGAACCTTACTGCACGTGGGATTCTGATGGGAAGCCCACACCCCGTACCAGGGACATCAGAAGTTTGGGGATGAAACCCCAGCATTAGGTGCTTTTAACTCTTGACATGTTAACTCAGTGACATACAGCCAAGTTTGAGGGCAAACAGTACTTCTCACACTTGGATGTGGACACAGTTGACTGGGAGTCTTGTTAAAAGGCAGGTTCTGATTCAGCAGGTCTGGGGGGCTGGGCGTGCCTGAGGCTCTCCCTTTGTGGCAGGCACCCAGGTGGTGCCCATGTGCTGGCCCACAGACCACCCTTTGGGTAGCAAGGATGTGCATTCATTTTAAAGCGTTCATTTGTGCTGTTGTGGTCATCAACACAAACACCCCTTCCCACACTCCACCCATCTCCAAGCCTCTGCTCTTAGAGTCAGAGCCCATCCAGATCCCAGCAGGCAGGTGGGCAGCCAGAACCTTCCCACCTGCATCTCCGCTGCTCCCCTCCAGGCTGACGGAACACCGGAGCTGGACCAGCGGTCCCCTCTTTATCTGCCAAGGGGGTAGGCATTCCTTTAAAGGAGCAACGTGGTGTTTGTAACATCCATGCAGCCTCACACACTTCACCCGAGGGCACGGGAAACTGCTTCACCCCACACCTAAACCCCTGCCGCCACACTACAGGGCAGGGAAGGAGGGACAGCTCTGCCTGCCTCCAGACTCTGAGGTCCGAGTTCAAATCCTGCCTCTGCCCTGTTCCAGCCACGTGCCTTTGGACAAGTCAACGAGCCTGTTTCAGAAGTTCTTCCGTTGTAAACTGTTTGAAATAATGACGCATGTCTCATGGTTGTTGGATGAATCCATTGCTTCAGGGACATACGGATATAAATGGATACAAACCCCAGAAGTACAAAGCAGAGTGTGTCGTAGTGACGGATGGGGTGATGGGGCCCCGTGAGGTAGCCCGAGCATGGTGGCCGTGCTCCACGAGCATCCTGTCTGCCCCACAGCTTCCTTCCGCTGCCACCACTCCCAGCCCGGGAGCCGGGCAGTCTCGGCTGCCGACCTCCGGCCCCTGACCCCTCCATGTGCCCTTCCCTCCCGCAGACATGGGGAGCTTTGAGGAAAGTCAGAAGCACCAGAGCGTCTCCCACGGAGAAGCGGCCATCATCCGCGCCCCACGCATCGCCAGCTTCCCACGGCCGCAGGTGACTTGGTTCCGGGACGGCCGCAAGATCCCGCCCAGCAGCCGCATGTGAGCCTCCTTGGGGGGGCGGGGGGCTGGCCCCGGGAGAGGAAATGCGGGGCCACGTAGCGCCCCCAGATGCTGAGGACGGAGGGCCCTCCCTGCTCTGGGAGGGAGCCAGATGGGGGACGTCCCCGATGAGGGAAGTCTGGTTTCCAGGGACCTTTCTGGGAGAGTGCGGGAGGAGTCTTGGAACCATGACAGCTCCGTGGCCTCCCCGGGGAATCCCAGGCATTGGCTCCACTCTCGGCTGGAGAATAATTCTGCCTCTAAGAGCGCTTAAAAAACCCGAGCTGGCACAGACAGAGGCTCTGTCACCGTGGTTACAGGCCCAGGGATCAGGGCACATGGGAGGGCGCTGGCATCTCCCCGGCAGGGTGTCTCCGCGGTGTGTGTGTGGCTGGGTGTCCACCGGTGTGCACGGCTGTGTGTGTTTTGGCTCCAGGGAGGAGGTGAGGCCAGGAGAGGCGGGAAGAGGAACACACGGTCCTTTCAGCGCTCACAAGGGCCCCTCTGTGCTGCCCGGAAGGGGGTTGTGGCAGCCTGGCTTGTGGGCAGAGTGACAGAAGCAGCGCCTCCACAGAGGGCGAGGGGCAAAGCACGGGGCGCAGCGGCCCTCCTGAGCCCCCTGGGAGAGCCAGCCCAGGCTGTCCTCTTTAGGACCCGCGCTCTCCCCTACACTCTACTCCCAGAAGAGAGGAAAGACCACCCTGGTCCCCGTCCACTCGGGCCGCAGATCCATTGTGGGTGGAGCCCATTCTGGTCTCTGTAGGAAGCAGAAGCCGAGACGGACAGTTCTTTCCTCTGGGGAACATGAGGTCCAGTGAGAGAAGCGTGATCTTAAGAATATGATGATATCCTGGCAACGACAGTGCCTGCTGTGTTCTCAGGCCTGGGCTAAGCACACCCGCCATCACCCTCTCCTCCAGGACAGACACGCACCTCCCAGGGAGAGATGCTCTGTCTCGTTCCCTTTTCCATCCCCAGATCCACCTCAAGAAATATTTGTCGAATGAATGACCCTCACAACAACCTTACGAAGTGGCTGATTTTACCCCCATTTTATAGACGGTAAAGTGAAGGCCCCCAGAGTTTAACTGCTTTGCTAGATCTCACGCAGCTGGTTCCAGGCTTGCCGACTCCAGAGTCAGGTCCTTAATTCTGCCTTATGTGGAAATTATATGAGAACAGGTACAAAGACATGGGAGCTAAAAAGGATAAAGTGATTGTACTTTTGGAGAATTGGTCCTGCTGATTCTCAACGTGGCTGCCCTCTGAGATGATCTGGGACCATTTAAAATATACTCATTTTCAGATTCTACCCTTCACACATTCTTATTTCATTGAAACGGGGTGTACCGAGGCCTTGGGAGTTTTAAAAGCTTCCCCGTGATTCCAGCATGCAGCCTCAATCGAGAGCCAGTGTCTAGAATGTATCTGTTACTGACAGACCCAATAGTGCTACGTAACAAGTGGTCCCAGTGGCCTGATGCAATAAGCCTGTATTTGTCATGTGAACCGGCAGATTGGTGAGCTTGGCCTGGCTCTCTCACTTGGCTGGGGCTGGCTGATGAGAATGCCTGGGTGACTCAATTCTGCCCCACGTGTCCCAGCCTCTAGTCAGTGGCCCCTAGCGTCTCCTCCTGGCAGTCTCAGAAGAAGCAAAACACAAGCTTCTGCTAATATCCCATTGGTCAAAGCAAGTCACATGGTAGAACTCAGCTCAAGAAGCCAGGAAATTGATTCTGCTCTTGAGTGAGAGGACTACAGGGTCACCTGGCGAAGGTGCTGCTGCAGAGCAGGTGATGATTGGGTATACACACACGCACACCTTCCTGGTCACGCCTACCCCCTCCCCACCTCCTCCAGTCGTACCGAACGCACAAGAGAACACTGTGGGGATTTCATCTCAGCAATTACAGCAGATTAATATTCATAACCCAGAGGAAAGGTCCCTGGAAACAAATTCTCTGGTGTCTGTTTGCTGGAGATACGCATCTGATGAGCGCTGTCAGTCAGTGGGGTGCACAGGGTGCTGAAGGCGTGTGCTATCTACAGAGGACCGCTCTCCCTCCCAGGGCAGAAGTGGAGATTAGTAACCCCTGGCCCGTTCCTTGATACTCATTGTTGAAAAGGAGACAAGATCCCCATCAAAGACACACGCTGGGGGCTTTGGGCAGCTTCTAGGGTGATTTATTTTATTCTTAATTAAATGATGAGTTGGGCTCCCGTGAAGCTGAGAAAAAAGGGCACACTTCATAGGAGTGGGAGATGGGAGGTGGGAGGGAGCTGGGCCCATCAAAGCAGCGGGAAAGACCTAGGAAATTGAAACCAGAGGAGTATGGCTGGAAAATGCAACCAGCCCCCGCCTGAGAGTAGAGCCCTGACGTCCACGCCCTGCAAGAATTCCAGCGGCTTCCTTCAATGCGGGTGCCTCTGGGGGCAGTAGGCCGGAAGCCCTCCTGACAGCCACAAATAGCTTTGTGCACTTTGGAGGTGAGGGGCAGGGTCGTTCTAGAACCATCTCTCAAGGGGAAGGTCATCCTGCAGAAGGCTGCTAGCCCAGGGACCTTCCTTAGCCTCCTGCTGAGGACAGAGGGACAGCAGGTCAAAAGGCCGCTGGCCCTTCCCCGGCTCTCTGCCTCCTGTTCGCTCCTCACTGGGAACTCGAACCCAGGCCCCGGGGTCCCGGACACAGTGCTTTCCTCTAGTTCCAGTCAAGGCCATGCTAGCTGCATCACAGACAGACCCCCAAATCCCAGGGGCTTAGCGCCAGAGAAGTTTATTTCCTGCCAACTGAAAGTCCCACCGAGGGCGAGAGATGGGAGGGGCACCCTCCTCCACAGCCAGGCTGGTGGGAGCTCCACCCTCATCCACACTGGGCTCCCAGTGGCCCCGCTGGTCCGAGCCCAGAAGCGGCGCACATCCTCCGTATCCCACTAGCTCGGCCAACTGCCCACCTGGGTGCAAGGGGGGCGGGGAAGGGTGACGCCTGGCTTCCCAAAATCTTCAGTTCTCTGCAGGAGGGGAGCCAGAAACAGAGGTAGATGGTGAGCATCTCTGCCACCTGGATACGCCATCCCCCCCGACCCAGGACAGGGTACCACGATCCACACATTCCATGTTGAACCCCACAAACTGTTGTGCGGGCTGTCTGGTGCGTGGGGGGACACTGCAGCATCCCTGACCGCTACACACTAGTTACTAGTACAGCCCCACAGCTGGGATAACCAAGACTTGTCCAGGCATTGCCAGATGTCCCCTGGAAGGTGAAGCCACCCCTGATTGAGAACCACTGACCTAGAAGGATCCATCATAATATAGACAAAATATAGGCAAAGGAGAGAAAGGGGATGGGAAGAGTCTGTATGGTCAAGGAGAGAAGGAAATGGAGGTGGGGGGCCTTCTCTGGAGGCCAGAAGAGGCGTTCAGGACAGACGGGTGTACTGGGGAGGGGGACCAGGCCATGCCCAGGGTGCCCACCTGCCAAAGATTTCATCTAGCTGGCTTCTACGTCACCAGGGCAGCGGCTGGGGAAGCTGGAGCCCAGGGGGTCCACGTGCACTGCTGCTTGTCGTGAGCCCTGACCTTGGACTGTGTGCCTGGAGACGGCTGAGTGAGAGGGAGGGGACAGCCTCAGGCACCTGGAAACTAACAGAAGCAGCCTCAACCTCAGGGCTGGAAGGGGTCTTCACCCGCCTCTGCCTCCACCCCTTACACAGATGAGGAGACTGAGGCCCAGCAAGAAGGAGGCTGTGAGCTCCTTAGAGGCCAGAGCTCCACCCCAGAGCTGCCCCCCTGCCCTGGCACAGCCCAGCCTCCGTTTCACCAGCCCTCACCCACCCCGACAAGCTCCACTAAAGGACCAGGGCCCCTGCAGGAGAGTCCCACGTGAGGACATGGTCACCATCCCTGTCCCATTATGTCGATTTTAAAATATTTTAGCTGGCTCTGTCCTCACTCCCATCACCTCATTAGCTGGAGGTTAAAAGAGCTCTCCAGGGGAAAAGAAAACAAAAGAAAGGACATCATTAGGGTTCCCAGGAATTGGGGCAGGAGGGCTTTGTCTTCCTGCTTCCTGGAGTTCGGCAGGCAGGCTGAGACTCAGCACACGAAGCCCCAAAACCAGGAGGAGAGACCTCAGCACAGCCTGGCTGGGAGAGACCAGGCTGGAGAGACTTTCGTGGGGGTGTTTATTTGAGAGCCCATTTAAAACTCTGTTACGTTCACCTAATGGGAAAATTTGAAAAGAATTCAACTGGATTTGTCCTTGTTAAACGAACATTAAGGATGTTTAACAGCTGTCTTGGGCACATCACATTAAAATCCAGAGAGAGACTTGACAAACTAGTGGTTTTGTTTGTCATCAGGAGGATAGGTGAGAGGAGGTGCCTGGCAGAGCCAGGGTGGGCATTGCTCTTGCACCCGCGTCCAGTGGGGTCCCCAAATTCCCGCCTGCAAAAGCCCTGCGCCCGGCCCGCGGACATGGGAGCCAAGGGGCTGCAGGATGGGATCCCAGCAGTGGGAACCAGGCTGGGAGCAAACAGCCCACGTCTACACCCCACTACCCGGCCCGTCTCCTTTTTCCCTCTCCACCAGCCCAGGTGGCCCCTCTTTTATAGATCAGATTTGGGGAGAAGTAAACGGATGCCCTAAGAGGGGGACGGGGGGGAGATGTGAACCCCAGAAGGCTGTGTTACAGGCAGACTGTAGCCTTTGAATCAACCTAAACAGATTCAGGATTAGGTTAAGGCAGTGATTCTGGAATGATCGTGTTCATTTCTAAATTCATTCTCGTCTCTCATCATTCATTCATTCATTCACTGATTCTGGTGAATGAATTTCTTTAGTTCTAGACACGCCTGGTGCAGAGATAACCCCACACAGCCGTCCATGCTGTGACACAGGAAAGGGTAGAATTCCAGGGGAGCTCTGGCCCCTAGCCAGGCCTGGGGGCGGGGAGTGGCAGAGAAGTGTCACCTGGACAGTTTCAGACCCCTGGGCATGTTCTGTATTGGGGTGTGATCCCCAGCGCTGGTGGAGTATTGGGATTCTCTGCAAACTAAACACGGCTGGAGTTCAGGCAGTAAGTGGTTCCAGGGGGTGGGCTGGAGAAGGGGGTCTTGGGGTGCCTGGCTTCACGTCCCCGCTCGCATCCCCAGATGCTCAGGCTTAGCAGGCCCAGCAGAGGCGTTCTTTTCCTCTCCCCAGAGCCATCACCCTGGAGAACGCCCTTGTCATCCTGTCAACGGTGGCTCCCGACGCAGGCCGCTACTACGCGCAAGCTGTTAATGACAAGAATGGGGATAACAAGACCAGCCAGCCCATCGCTCTCGCCGTGGAGAGTAAGTAAGCCGCAGGGCCCGGGACCGATGGTGCAGCCCGTCATTAAATCTTGGGAATGGGGCTCCGGGGGGTCATTGGGAAGATGGAATGGCGGTGGAGGGGGGAGGCTGGGAAAGGGTGGGGGAGGCGCCATCCCAAGGAGGAAGAGGCCCACCTGGGGGTGGGAGTGGGAGGTGGAGGCCGGGAGGGAGCTGAATTCCGGACCCCGTGCCCATGACGAGTCTGAGACCCTATCAGGATGGGGGGACACTTAGCTTGGCTGTTAGCTGGGCCCCTGGGAGCCCAGGGAGGGCGTGGGATATAGGAGAAAGTGTGTGCACTAGAGGATCACCACCACCCCTGGGGCTCAGGTGCTGGTGGGCTGAGCCCGCCAGGAGATGGGAAGCTAATTTTTAAAGAAATGTACTGACTGCCTCTACTCCGCTGGCATGTAAAAAGCGCCACTTTTACTTGCAGCCAAGCCATCCTCACCTATGGGAACACTTGCTGTCTGCCCAGGCTCCTGCCTAAAAGTGCCCCTGTGTCCATCCCCAGAGACCACCCCGCACCCTGGAAGAGAGAGGCAAGGCTCTCCCCAGTGGCAGAGCACAGAGGATAGCAAATGCAAAGGGTGACTCCTTGGGTGTCTTTGGCAAAGAAGTATTTGTCCAGCCAAGGCTCAAGGCAGGTTTCCGATCGGTGATGGAGGTGCTGGGGGTGTCCCCCCTGGCCTGGTTCTCCCCGGCCCGCTCCCTCCATTCTCCATCCCTGGGATGGAGAGGTGGGTAGGGGGGTCACAGAGTACGCGGGACAAGGCCAGAGCTTCCCGCAGCGGCCAAGCAGCCACACAGGCTGGGGGAGCCAGATGCTCACGTCCCTCCACATCTGCACAACTGCTGCTCCGAAAGCCAGCCTCATTTATCATCCGCGGTCCTGCTGGGACGACCCGCCAGCAGCAAGAGAAGGGTGTCCGCCAGCTCGGAACCTTCCCGTGTCCTTCCTCTGATCCCAGCCTCTGTCTTCAAGGGCCCAGAAAGCCCGGAACATTCCCCAGTCCCGACCTGCCCATTCCTGGACCTCCTGAGCACCAGCGGAAGCCCCTCCCATACGTGCAGTGACCCCCTCCCCACAGACCACATTCCTGTCTGCCCAGAAAGAAACCTGGGTGCAGGGAGCAGAGTTCCAGTCTGGATACCGACCTATCAGGGTCACGGGTGTAACCTCTGACATTGACCTGGGCCAGGGTCTCAGTCTCGTCCCGGCAACCTGGGGCCTAGCCCATGACCTGGGGCTGCTGTTTCTATAGGAAAAGGAAGGTAACCGTCAGACGTCTGTCCCCATGTATTTTCCAGCGCTTAGAGAGGCTAATGGAATTGAATTGTTTAGTGGGAGGGATGCTCACGGTCCGAGTCAAGGCCAAGGATCTTCCTGGGTGACTCGCTGACCCTGAGACCGTCCCCCAGCCCCTCCCCTGGCACCCTCCTCCTGGCGGGAATTGCACCAGCTGTTCTCCTGGCCAACTGGGCGGGCTCTTCACTCCCAGCTGCCTCCCCCAGCCCTCCGACTGGCCCAAGAGAGGCAGGCAGGGTCCCTTGGGACCCCCATGTGTGCCCAAGCCTCGCCCGCCGCACCCCTGTTGTCTGTTTCTCCCCCACCCCATCACCCCCCTCCACCTGCTCTCACGGTGATTTGTACTGGATTGAGAGCAAAATCAGCTGCTTATCAGCTAATTTCTCCTCCCACGAGTGACTGCACTTCAAATCCCAGTTACTGTCACTGACACAAATCCCCCAACTGCCGGCCTGCCGGCCAGTTTCCTAGGAACAATTGCCTCTCCGCCCACCACCCGCTGCATCTCCCCTCATCTGTCTCGCCCAAGCCTCACCTCTCCCTCTGCTCTCCCCCCTCCCCCCTTCCTCCCTCCTCTGCTCAGGTCAGCTCAGCCTCTTAGCAGCCCTCAGGGGACATCCATGCTCTTCAGAAATGGAGAAGGAGAGAGCAAAGACCAGGGACACCCCCCGCCCCGAGTTGCCCTCTGCCCAGGTGTCACCCAGGTGACCTCACACGGACTGTCACAGCTCTTGAAAAGTTCATACCTGGCTGATGGTCCCACTGGGAGGCAATCAGAGCTGCACTGTCCAATAGAATTGTAATATGAGCCACATATGTAATTTAAAACTTGCCACTGGCCTCACTTTTTCAGAAGGAAAAAGAAACTGGTGAAATTAATCTAATTATATTTTATTTACCCAACATATCCAAAATATTAGCGGTTGAACATACAATCGAGAAAATACTAATGAGACGCTTTACACTGGGTTTCCTTTTCTTACTAAGTCTTCAAAATCCATGTGTATTTTGCACTTAAAGCACATCTCAATTTGGATGCTGGGTTTTCATCTGAAATACGTGATCTGTATTTAGATTTCATAAAATTTACAGCTGGAAAGGTGGGATCGTATGCCCAAGTTTTTCCACACATACAGTGTTCTAATCGGTTCTAATAACTGATTCAGGGATCCGCTTTTAATTAAATGTAAATTAGGTAAAATTAAATCCCATTGCGTCAAAGGGGCACCAGTCACGTTTCAAGAGCTCGTAGCCACCTGTGGTTCTCGCCCCACCCCTGCCCATGCTGGACAGGGTAGGTCTGCCCTGGGCCCGCGAGTGCCTGGAAGCCTGCCCGGCAGAGGGGAGCAGCTCGCCTCCCTGCTCCCCACCCACTTGACCCGTGGCCCAGTCACGTGGTCCCCGAGCCACAGTTTCCTCGCCTGTGGCAAAGCGTAGTTGGGAAGAGGATTCGATGAGATGACTCGGGGAGAATGGACCAGAGTGGGTGTCCCCCGTCGCGCCTGTTATCAAAATCGTCCTGGGGCAGCGAGACCCAACTTTGCCCCCATGTGGGGAGCCCCTAAGCTTCCTCGTGCCCCAGGACCCCGTCCACATCGCGAGCTCATGCGGAAGATGCCCGTCCTTGCTCTGGTTTGCATGTGGTTTTCTTGCCTGATCTTTAGGGCCCCGTTCACCCCGCTGTCCAGAGCAGTGCCTGAGCATGGCCAGGCTGTCCCCTTCCCCCTGGCTGGCCCTCCCGAGACCCTGAGTCAGTATAGGCCTCCCTGCAGGGAGCGCCTGCTAGAAAAGTGCGTCCTGCCGAGGCTGGGTCCACCCGAGCGGTCCCCCTCTGCCTCCACACCACACCAACAGCCTCCCTTTCCACCGCCCCACGTGCTGGGCACCAGCCGGCACTCTGGTGCTCCATCGTTACAGCAAACCCTGGAGGCAGTCTGTCATTCCCCTCCACGAGTTACAAAAGCGGGGGAAACAGGCCTACGAGGTGAAGCAATTTACTTCCCGGCGACATTCGCTAATGATGCACAAACCCGAGAATGGAACCGTGTTTCCCTGGCTGCCGAGCTCACCTCGTTAACAGCTCCCCAGACGTCCCAGAGGGAAACAGATCTCCCTCTTGGCCACTGCCGCCCCCTGAGAGGCACCTCGAGACTTTTCAGAAGTTACCCCACCCCAGTCTTTACCTCCCGGTCATGGCTGCCACCGGCTCCCCTGCCTCCTCCAGCCCCTGCCACTGGTGACCTCCTGGTTGCAAACCCACTTCCTGCATCCTGATTCTCTCCACTGACCCCCCTCTTGGCGCCGCGTAACCTGAGCTTCCTCAGCCCTGCGTGTCTCCCGCTGTTCTCCCGTCTCCTGCTTTCTTCTCCCCTGACGTGAACTAGCTGACGCCTGGTTCTCTGCCCTTTGTGCCTCCCACTCCCCCACCCCTGGTCCCCGGGGTCCCCCTCGCCCCACCCTCCTGTCCTCTCCGGGCGCGTCACCCCCCGGGGCTCCTGCCTCGTGTTCCTGAATGTCCCCCCTTGAGTACCTTCATTCCGACATCCCACCGCCATCTCCACCCCAGGGTGACAAAATCCCCACCCATCTCCCTTCTTTGAAAACCTGTTCCCCTAGGGCTTAACTTTTCTCTGTAAAGGGGGCCCCAGGTCCAGGCATCCTTTCCTCGTGTCTGTCGACCCCTCCGTGTAATATGCCCACCTAGGGCTGACTTCCAGCCCATAGCCCAGCTTGGAAATTCTCAGTAATCTGGCCCTGACCCAAATTCTCCCAGTCAGATCTACTCCCCCTAGCAGGGATGGAAAATGGGATTCACCTCATCGGCCAGCTCTGATCCATTGTTGGTGCTTTGTTAAGAAGGATTCTGAGGACACCTCTGGGCTCAGCCATGAAAAGCACTGACCCATCAGGAGAGTGGGCTGGGGACGGGGCAGCATGTGGGCCAGGATCCGTCACGTCTGCTCTGGGGCTCTCCCCTCTCATCCATCCCAGTGCTCTGAGGCCACCCCGGCGTCACGCCCACATTTACCTCCGGCTCCCCCCGTTCAGCTCACCTTCACTCACACAGCGCTTCTGTTCTGGAATGTTCTTCTTCCTCTGGCTTCTCTGAGTTCCACTCAAGTTCCTCCATCTCCTGTGAGTCCCCAGGGAGCACTTGAGGCTTTGCCTGATCTCCTGTAGCCCTGAACACGTGTGTCCTCCTTCCCTCGGTCAAGAGGCCCCTGAGAGTCCATGACTTCCCCTCCTGGTAGCCTCTGGCTCCATCACTTGGTCCAGGCTGGGTTGGGGGTGGAGGGAAGAAGCAAGGAAACATCCCCCCACCCACGCTCAGGCAGACAAGTCCCCAGAGGAGGGACCGTCATCTATTGAGGACCTACTGTGTGCCAGGGACTCTACGCTCACCCCACAGCAGCTTAGCCGTGCCCCCCCCAGGACCCTCCTTCCAACACCCGTCATGCGCATCTTTAATCTCTTAGCCGTCCAAGCGCAGATCTGACTTCTTCCCAGACTGCACGCCATGAGGACAGACCCCCCCACCCATCTCACTCAGCAGGGAATCCCTGGTGCCTGGTACACAGTCTGGCTCACACAGAGCCCTTACCCAGAAAAGATTTGTTGAGTCGGGAGCTGGTCCCACACAACCCAGAAAAGATTTGTTGAGTCGGGAGCTGGTCCCACACAACCCTGAGAGGCGGTGATTTCTACCCCCTTTCTGCAGCTGAGAAAGACTGAGAGACTCGGGGGATGAGGTGACCAGCCGGAGTCACGCCCAGGACGCCTGGGGCAGAGCAAGAGTTTGGGCCAGGTCTTCCTGACCGCCAGGCCCTCCTTCACTGCATCCGGGGCCCCTTCCCTCGTACCCTGCAAGCAGCCACCTGGATCTGGGCAGGACAGGGTCCCTGGGTGGGTGTCAGTCACCCCTTTAACCTCCTAGAGCCAACAAGGCAGCCCTGAGGTGGGGGGGCAGCCCTGCTATTTTTAAACTCCGAGGGCTCTGTTTACCCATGATGCCGTGGGGCTCTAACTGTCTGTCTTCTCCTCGTGCGCCCGTAGTCTGGGCCTCCGTAGCTGCGCACCGCGGCGTGCGGTAGACAGCGTGGGGCACACGTTTATGGACTCAGCGACGTCAGCAGCTTTCAGTCCAGTCGCTCTTTATGGCGCCTACATGAGGCTCTTATATTGTTGCAGTCATTTTGGTTTATAAGCTTCCTTTCTTCCCCCCTTCATTTTAGTTTATTGTTTACATTTTATTCCCAGCAAGGCCTGGAGGCCCGGCAGGAAAACCCTTCCCGGGGCTGACTGGGGTGGACTGACGTCCCCATAAAGCATGTCCTGTTGCTGTGGCCTGGGGGGCTGTGTGTTTCATTATGGCCTGCACCTCCAGAGCCTCCCGGTTAGGGGCCACCTGGATGGGTTTGTTGTGAGAGCAAGTCCTTGGTGGCTGTATTTCTGGGAGCCATAGAGCAGGTGTACAGAGAATATTGGAGTTTCTGCCAGTATTGGGCCTGTGCTGACCCACAAAGTTAAGAACCTGGCCACTTCTTAAAGAGCTCAAAAAATATAACAAAGGAAATGCTCCTGCCTCTGTTAGGAGAGTTTGGGGTGTTTTTGGGGTGTTTTGCTTTAATAAAGCCCAGTCATGATAAGTTCTCTTTCATTTTAATCGTCGACCCTGGAAGTTATACAACGATAGCTCCAGTCCCATGCGTTCGTTCACCTAACAGATGTATTTGAGCACCTACTGTGTGCTGTGTGGCATGGTTCTGGAAGTGGGGGCGAACAGGACTGTCTTGACTCAGGCTGCCGTAACAGAATACCACAGACGGTGGGGCTCAAACACAGGCATTTACTTGTCATAGTTCTGGAAGTCCAAGATGAAGGTACCAACATGGTTGGTTTTGGCTGAAGGCTCTCTTCCCTGGCTTGCAGACGGCTGCCTTCTTACTGTGTCCTCACATGGCAGAGAGAGAGCTCTGGGGCCTTTTCTTCATCTTACCAAGGCACTAACCCTGTTGGATTAGGGCCCCACCCATATAACCTTATTTAACCCAATTACCTCTTAAAGACCCCACCCCAAACACAGGGGAGTTAGGGCTTCAACATATGAATGGGGGTGGGGGTGGGGACAATTCAGTCCAAAGCAAAAACAAATGAGGTTCCTGCCTCATAGAATGTATTAATTTCCTAAGGGCCACAAACTGGGTGACCTATCACAACAGAAATTTACTCTCGCATAGAAGTCTGAAATCAAGGTGTTGGAGTGCCCATGCTCTCTCTGACAGGTGTAAGGGAGGGTCCTTTCCTGCCTCTCCAAGCCTGTGGCAGTTGCGGACAATCCTTGATGTTCCTCGGCTTATAATTCATTACTGCAGTCTCTGCCTCTGTCTTCACCTGGCCGTCTCCCCTGTGGGTCTGTGTGTAAATTTCCCTCTTCTTATAAGGACACATCATATTGGACTTCGGGCCCACCCTGATGCAGTAGGACTGCATCTTAACTGGATTGCACTTGCACAGACCCTATTTTCAAATAAGGTGACATTCACAGCTGCCATGGACTTGGATTTGGGGGACAGTGTTCAGCCAACTACAGGGAGTTTGCATTCTGGTAGAAGAGGTGGCAAATGAAGCAGTAAGCCAACAAGATAAATGCAGGTGGAGGGAAGGATTTTGAAGACAAAAAACCAGGACGGGGGGATGGGGACGAGGGAGTGGCTGCATTGCCGGAGGAGCGGGAGAGGTCTTGAGGTCTCCAGTGCACTCTCCCTGGACACTGTGTGGAGACCCATCAGCAGAGGAGGTGGAAGGGACCCCGGGGTCCGTGTCTGGAGGTTCGGCTCTGGGGCTGCTGGGGCGTCTGCCCCATGGCCACCTGCCCCCCCTCCGTGAGGACAAAGGTCTCCCGTGGCATCCCTCTAAAGGGGGGTGGGATTTCCGGCCTCTGTTCCCAGCTGACACCTGTCCTCTCTCCAGATGTAGGGGGCCCCGCAGACCCCATCGCTCCAACCATCATCATTCCTCCCAAGAACACCAGCGTGGTGACCGGGACCTCGGAGGTGACCATGGAGTGCGTGGCCAATGCCAGGTGGGCAGTGCCCCTTCCCCACTTTAACTCCAGCGAGCGCTCCTGACCTGTGGGCTTGGAGGAGACCAGTCGGAATTCAGACAGGCCCAGAAGTGTCATGTGAGGACCCATGAAAGAAGATGGGGTATTTAGCCTAGAGGAGGGGTGATAGGTGGGCCGTCACAGAGCCCTCGGATGCAAGCAGGGCCCGCCCGAGAGGAGAGCCCACGCCTCGAGGCGTGGCAGCAGTTACGGGCCAGCAGATCCCAGCCCAGGATATTTGGGGCTGGTGGGGGATCCACTCATACTTCCAACATTCAGAGCAGCCTGGAGATGGGTGGCTCACCTCTGCCAGCAGTGCCCTCCTCGCGTGCAGGCATGGGCAAGAGGAAAGCTGTGCTAGGAGACAGGTCACGTGATGGACTTTGCAGGAGGGTAGACCTGGGGTCAGGTGCAAATGCGGCCCCTTCTCAGCCGTGTACGACCCTCACTTCTCTCCCTTGGTCGTGTGTGGGCACTGTGCTACATGCCCTCCCACAAAACCTCCTTTCTTCCAACAGCTACCCACGTAGGTGTCACTACTCTGAAGCCCAGAGAGGGCAAGCAACCTACCCAAGGTCACCCAGCTGACCGATAGCAGAGTTGCAATACAACAAGCCCTCGGGCCCATGCTCACTGCCAGGCTCTGGGCCTTAGTGTCCTCAGCTATAAAATGGGAAATGATGTAGCACTTACCTCAGCAGTGAGGCATGCAGGTAGAATGCTGGAGCCAGCCCGACCTGACACCTCCTAAGTGCTCCAGAAAGATGATCCAATGTGATGGAGTGAGCAGTTAGACCAGTGACCCCAAGGTCACCCCCAGCTGAAGTTTCCCGGACAGCGTGTCTCTGTAGCAGTGCTTCTAAAAGTACGCTTCTCAGGGACTTCCCTGGTGATCCAGTGGTAAAGAATCCGCCTTCCAGGGCAGGGGACACAGGTTCGATCCCTGGTCGGGGAACTAAGATTCCCACATGCCGTGGGGCAACTAAGCTCGTGCACCACAACTACTGAGCACGCGCGCCACAACTAGAGAGAGAAAACCCGCATGCCACAACTAGAGAGAAGCCGGCGCGCCACAACGAAAGAGCCCACATGCCGCAACTAAGACTCAACGCAGCCAAGAAAAATTTTTTAATACATAAAAGTACATTTCTCAGAACCCAAGTTTCTCACAAGTAGGGGAAAGGCCGCCAGGATGCAACAGAGCACGTTAAGGGAGCAGAGAAGAACCTACATAACACCATTCAGGCCAGGCTGCCCAAACTCACTCTACCATGAAACCCCTTTTTCATGGGACCCCTCTGAGCCCCCGGGGAGCTAGCACGGACCCCACTTTGGCAGATCCGCCCTTAGGGATCCATCAGGTGTTAAACAGGAGAGCCGGGCCAACCCCAGCTCAGGGGTCCTTGGGGAGCCGGGGTCAGTGATGGAGGAAAGGAGGCCCAGCTCACACCCTCAGCCCTCTCTCAGAGTTGGGGGTGCGTATGTCCACCTGCCTGCCTTTGTTTCCCCATCTCCAAACTTTGGGTGCTTCCCTCCCATTTCAACTTGTCACTTTCGCTCACCTTTCACACTTTCCTACCCACTGACTTCTATGGGATGGGGCACGGCATGCGGAGCAGAGCAGAAGAAAGGGAGATGTGTGGAAAGGACGCTTCTCTGCTCTCGAAAGCCCCCGAGCACGAGTTACCCCCAGGACCGGGTCCTGTGTGAACCCATCCACCCTCGCCACAACCCCTGGGTGGGCACGGTTGCCCCCATTTCACAGACGAGGAAACTGAGGCCCAGAGCACTGGAGGAGCCGCGCCAAACAACGGCTTCACCTAGAAAGTGTCAGGGGCGTGGGCAAACCCAGGCAGCCTGGCCCCGGACCTGCAGTCCTTACCATGCCCTGCCCTGCCTCTCGGGCCTCTGAAGTCTCTGTGGCTGATGGCCTGCCTCCCTCGCACCCCCCACCCACCCAGGCCCCTGATCAAGCTGCACATCACTTGGAAGAAGGATGGGGTGCTGCTGTCCAGCGGCATCAGCGACTACAACCGCCGGCTCACCATCCCCAACCCTACGGGCAGCGACGCCGGTTACTACGAGTGTGAGGCCATCCTTCGCGGCAGCAGTGCCGCCTCTGTCGTCCGTGGCGCCTACCTGTCTGTGCTGGGTGAGGCGGGGTGGGGCTGCTGGGGTCCCCCAAGCATGGTTGGGGCCTACTTAAGGGTGACCCCCCAAACGGTGGCCATACCAACAGGAGCACAGCTCTGACAACCCCCCCGTCCCCCCTCCTGCAGAACCGCCTCAGTTTGTCAAGGAGCCAGAGAGACACATCACAGCAGAGATGGAGAAAGTGGTGGACGTCCCCTGTCGGGCCAAAGGTAACGCGGTGGTGTGGATGGAGAGGGACAAGGACCCCCGGACCTTCAGCCGCTCCTGTCCCTGACATGGACTTTTCTAAATTCTCATCCTTCTCATCACTGAGCAGAGAGTCAGTCTGGCTGTAGGCAGACACCCCAGGAAACAACAGGCCAAATTACCATAATCTCAGAGCTGGAAATCAACCCCCTGTTACCATAACTTGAAGGTTACAAATGAATCCAAATTACCGTAATTTCAGGATAGGTGACAGACCTAAATTGCCCATAATCTGAGAGTCGTAGACAATGCCAAATTATCGTTATGTCAGAACTGAGTGCATCTCTGCCTGGTGTCTGGGCCATTTTGCTTCACCTCCTCCCACCATTTTTACTTAACCCCGCCTTGTCAGAATTCTTGCAGACTTTCTACTTTTCCCATCCCCACCCCCCCCTTCAGGTTCCACTGAGCTCAAAGGCACCCCGAAACCAGGGTGAAATCTGGGATGATGGGATGATAGGGGAGAGCGTGCATGACGGGACAGGGTCTGACATTGAACAGAGAGGAGAATGTAGCCCAGGCAGGAGGGAGGGTCCAGTGGAGGGGGAGGGGGGATACTGACCCCGGTTCTGAGACCACACCAGGGGAAGACAGAGATCCGTTCATTTACTGAACAAAGGTTTTGGAGGGCTTATCATGTGCCGATACTGTTCTCGGGGCTGGAGAGACACAGGCTGAACCAAACAGCCCAATCCCCGCTCTTACAGAACTTACGTTCTCATGAGGAAGGTAGACAAACCAATAAGCAAATAAAGAGAGCGTATTTCACTTCATCTAAAATGCCATGGGTTGTAAGATGCCCCATTATTTCATGTGCCTCTAAGAAAGAAAAGGGACTGCCAATTAAATTATGACATGCTGTCGATTGTAAGACACGTCCTGATTTGAGACGTTACAATGTGAAAGAAGGCTCTGCTTGGACTGGATGAACTATTAGAGGACGTCAGGGTTGAAAAGTGCTGGGAAGGAAAAACAAGTAGGCTGAGGGGGCTCGGAGCCACGGGGTGGTCTTTCGAACGGGGTTTGGGGACCTTTTCTGTAGAAGTCACGTTTGAGCAGAGATGCAGTGGGAGAGGTGAGAGGGCCAGGGGATACCTATGGGAAGAGCATGCCAGGCTGGGGACATAGCTTGGGGAAGGCTGAGGCGTAAGGGGAGCCCCATTCACCTCCCTGTGCGACCCGGTAGGAGGGGGCTTCCGAAGGAACGCTGATCCCATCCGCCTGCCCCTTGACACAGGGTTCTCTGGTCACCTGGGTTTGTGAAAGCCCAGTTGGAGGTTCCCAGAGCACACAAAAGACTCTGCTAAATGTTGCAGAAAAAATAGAGCTTGTCCAGTCCAGCCTTTCCAAGCTAAACTAACCCCAGGATCTTTTAAATTTTCCTGGAACGCCTACTCGATGAGAATTTGAGAACTGTCCCTCTGAGAAAATCTTTCCCCGCTCCCAAGACCAACAGTGGCGCCTCTGAGAAGGTTCTAGAAACCAAGACACCCCAGGGACACCCCGCCCCCCCTCCGAGGACTTGCTGCCTCAGCCTCTACCTGGGCATCCCTCAGGGGCGGCTGACGGTGGGCGCTCATCTCCCACAGGTGTGCCGCCACCCTCCATCACCTGGTACAAGGACTCGGCCGTGGTGGAGGTGGGGAGGCTAAGCCGCTTCCAGCAGCGAGGCGACGGGGGCCTGCAGATCAGCGGGCTAGTGCCCGACGACACCGGCATGTTCCAGTGCTTCGCCCGCAACGCGGCCGGCGAGGTGCAGACCTCCACCTACCTGGCCGTCACCAGTGAGTCGACCTTTCCTGTCCTGCACGAGCCCCTCCCACCCAGGACGCAGCTTTCCTGCAGGCCAGGGGCCTCTTGAGAACAGGATGCTGTGCGGTGCAGAGACAGGATCCCAGAAGGCTGTCCCCCGGGGCCGGGCGGCTCTGGCCAGTGACACCTGCTGCTTCTGCAGCCAGCACCGTTTTTTCTTTTACAAACCAGAGCCTCGATTTCACATTTGATGAAGGATGAATCCCATTTACCTTGTCATGGAGGGTGTCAGCTGCCCTTGGGGGTCCTCAGTTTCCCCTAAATGGAGACTTGAGAATCAAGGCAGGGTGGGGACTGGTGTCACCTGGGTCCTTCCACGGGGCAGGTGGTAAGGGGAGCCCCTCGTGGGCCTTCCGGGCTTCTTCCCAATGCTGGGGCCCTGTCAGGACACCTGCATCCTTCCCTGCAGAGGGACCCACTTCAGCCAGCGGGAGTGGCAGGGCAGAACAAGGACCTGGGGTGTGCCTAAGAGGCCCCACTGTCTCCCTTCACAGGCATCGCCCCCAACATCACCAGGGGCCCCCTGGACAGCACGGTGATTGACGGCATGTCAGTGGTGCTGGCTTGTGAGACTTCGGGGGCGCCCCGGCCGGCCATCACTTGGCAGAAAGGTAGCTGAGACAGATCTGCTTTGGAGGGTGTGGCCACGTGACAAAGTCTAGGGCAGTCCTCAGGGCTCAGTTCTGGAGCCAGCCTGGTGGGGTTTCCCATGTACAGTTGGGAAGGTTGTGCACTGTACAACCCAAGATGGTTTCTTTCACACGACGGTAGGTACTCAAGGCTCAGCTCTACCTCTTGTGAGGCCTGTGACCTTGGAGCCTCAAGGTTCCCATCTGTAAAATGGGGACAGTAGGACACATACCTGGGAGTGTCATGCAAACTAGACGAGAGGATGCTCATGCAGGGCCTGCTCTGTGCCTGGGAAGTAGGGAGGCCCAAACAATGATGGCTGATGTAACAGCCCGGTGAAGGTTGTTCGTACAGGTAGGAGGCCATTCCCGCTCCGCAGGCAGCTTGCAGGGCTCCAGACACCTGAGCCACCAAAGCCCAAGCCATCTACCTAGGTCCACCCACCCCGCGTGACTCCTCCACACTCTGCATTGTACACTCACCTTCACAGCCCTCCCCGGGGACACACACACATGTACACACACACACACACAGAGTCACTCACTCACACCCCCCAGGCCTCTGCTCAGATGAACCTTCTCCACAGGACTCACCCAGGCCCTCCCCCGACCCCCCGCTGCTTTATTTTCCCCCCTTCTAATACGCAAGATCATCTGCACCTTGGTTTTGCTTATTGCCTGGCCCCCCACGAGGTCAGGGCTTTCGATTTTGTCCCCTGCTATCTCCCCAGGGCCTAGAACAGAGTCTGACACACAGTAGATACCCCATCACTATTGGTGGGGGGAGTGTGGGCACACTCAGGCCCAGAAGTAAACACACCCACCTAACACGCTCACTTGTTCAGTATGCCCACACGTGTGTGCAGAGGGACGTGCTCCCCCCCAGACTTGCACATGGACAGTCCCCTCTGTACAGACAGGTGGGATTTTCTTTAAAATAGGTACAATCACGAAAACCTGCACTCTCAGACTCACTCACACACGGCGTATCCCCTCCCTCCTCCCTCCCTCCCTCTCCCTCTTTCCAGGCCTTCCTAGGTCCCACTGCAGAGGGAGGTCCGTCCTGACAAGGGCTGCCCCCGCCCTATGTGTCCCTCTCCGCCCCCACCCCTTACTGTTCCCACCCATCACTTTCCTCTGCTCCCCTGCAGGTGACTCTCCAGAAGCATCCTCCCACAGGATGCTTGTCACCACTTTGTCAGAGCTCTCTGTCCCCTCCCCCCCAGCCCAGGTGCCAGCTGCCTCCGAGGGCTGTGCCCGGCAGCGTCAAGAGACAGTGCTGGCTTCCTCTGGTGAAGGGCAGACAGCGCGGTGGGTGGAGAGACATCAGGAGACCCGGGCTCTGGGCCACCCACTCTGTGACCGTGTGCCCTTGTGTCCATCACCAAGTCAGAAACCATTCTGGTCCCCAGCCCTGCTGCCACCACCATCCCCCCACCGGTGGCCCTTCCAGCCTTTCTGAAGCTGGGAGCCTGCCTGAGCTCACCCTGCCCCAGACGGGCCGGGGACGGGTGGGAGTGCCGTCCAGGCCCTTGGCGATGTCAGTGTGCCAGGGCGGCAGCCTGAACCCATGCATCCCCCCCAACCCCGTGTTGCCCCAGGGGAGCGCATCCTGGCCAGCGGCTCAGTCCAGCTGCCTCGCTTCACGCTCCTGGAATCCGGCAGCCTGCTCATCAGCCCCACGCACACCTCCGACGCCGGCACCTACACCTGTTTGGCCACCAACTCTCGGGGGGTCGACGAAGCCTCGGCCGACCTGGTTGTGTGGGGTGAGTATGAAGGGCAAGCGGGAGCTCTTTAGTTAGTTGGTTAGTTGGCGCTGAGCGCGCGCGAGCCCCTGCAGCTCCACATCCACGTGTCTGTCCAGCCGGCACGTCTTACAAGAAGGACCTGGATGGATCAATGCAGAGGACAGGCCACAGGAAGGCCAAGGTCCCGCGGGTGATGCCGTGGAGCGAGGCTCTGGCCATGCCTGGCCAAGCTGAGAGAAGAGAGAGCTGATGGGCATAGACTTTAGGGCCGAAATCAGCACACTTTTTCTGTAAAGGACCAGATAGTAAATATTTTAGGCTTTGTGAGCCAAACAGCCTCTGTCACAGCTCCATGAACTCCTCTGTTTCATCAAGAAAGCAGCTGTAGACGGTGGTGAATCCAGCGGGTGTGGCTGAGTGCCAGGACGGGGGAATTTACCCAGCCAGGCCCCCAGCTGGGCTCGACCCCAGGCTGTGGTTTGTGACCCCTGCTCTGGGGCAACTTCCCAAGCCCCTTCCCACCCTCAGATGGTACCACCTGGGATCTGGTACCACACGTAGGTGTGGGCCGCCCTTCTAGGCTGAGCGCCAGGCGCCTGGTGGGTGATGGTGGGCATTAGACCCAGAATCAGACAATCCTATTTTTACCCTGGCTGGACCACTGGTGTGCTGGGAACACAGCCCTGATCTTTCTTCATCCCTTGCGTGGGTTTGTGGGAGCAAAATTAAAAGAGCCCCCACTGTGATCGTGGCTTCCAAGAATCCCATACCGTGGAAGCACGTGGTTCTTAACGTTCTGGGACATTGACCACAGCAGACCAGTCCACCCGTAGAATTCAGCCACTCGGGTGCCGTTCACCTGAAGGTCCCCCTCCCCTACACCTGCATCTCACCTGTCTGTGTGGGACCCACCTGTTTCCCTTCCCACCACGCCGTCTCCCTGCTCTCTTTCAGCCCGGACGCGCATCACCAAGCCCCCCCAGGACCAGAGCGTCATCAAGGGAACCCAGGCCTCCATGATGTGTGGAGTGACCCACGACCCCCGAGTGACTGTCAGGTACTCCTTCGGCTGTGGCCCCTTGTAGGCAAAAGGGGAGGGGCAGCTTTAGGGGGTAGCTGGTTGCTGGGCGAGTGTCTACACGGGTAAGTGTGGCCCGTGCAGAGCTAGTGCAGGGCTGGGACGTGGGAGATACTAAGTAAATGCTTGGCGGACTGACCAGCCTGAGTTGAATTGGGCAGGGTGGTGGGGGGAGGGGAAGGGGCTGGGGGGTGAAGAAGTGGAGGAAAGGGAGTGGAGGAGGGCGGAAGGGAAGGGATGAGAAAGAGGCATCTGTCTGGGGAGAGGTGGAGGCTCCGGGTTGCTCGGGACCCCCTGCTAGCACCACCCCCCCAGGCCTTAGACCCTCCGCCCACAGCGTGGACAGCAGGGGGGTCTGGGTAAACAGGCGTGGGAGCAGTGACAGGGCTGGGAAGGGAAAGGGTCCTGAGGTGACCCTCAAAGGGACACATGTGAGGGACAGAGGCCCAGCCTGGGGCCACCCCCGCCATCCTCCTTGGGAGCCCAGACCTCGGCCAGCCACTTGGCCTGGAGGGAACCAGGTCCCGCCGTGGAATGCCCTGGAGAGGCCAGGGAGCACAGAAGAAGCCGAGAAAGTCACGAAAGCTGGGAACCCTCCCAGGCTGGGCACAAGGACACTTCCTGGAACTAAAACAGGAACAAAATGGTCCCTTCAGGCTCTCCTTTGAGCTCTGGGATGCTGAGTGGAAAACGTCACTGTTTCCTTAGAAATAAATACTCCCTCCGTGCTGCTTCTCTATTTTATGGGCAATGTCACTGCCAAAGCAACTGGCACGGAGCTGGAAGGGCCGGGCACTGATGCCACTTGGAGTAACGGCTCGCTCTGCTCAGGAGGCAGTTGTGTCCTGGGACCCCACCTGGTGGCCACTGGGTATATGACAGTCTGTATGGCTGTGACAAATGGGACCCCGGAAACCAAGGTTGGAGGCAAGGGTACCACAACTTTTTTTTTTTGCTTTATTTCCCCTTTTTTATTTTATTTTTTATTGAAGTATAGTTGATTTACAATGTCGTGTTCATTACTACTGTACAGCAAAGTGATTCAGTTATACATATGTATGTATATTCTTTTCCATTTTGGTTTATCAGAGGATATTGAACATAGTTCTCTGTGCTACACAGTAGGACCTTGTTGTGTAAAGGCTGTGTATAAAAGCTTACATCTGTAACCCCAACCTCCCAGTTCACCCTCCCCCAACCCCCTCCCCCTTGGCAACCGCCAGTCTGTTCTCTATGGCCGCGATTCTGTTTCTGTTTTGTAGATAAGTTCATTTGTGTCATATTTTAGATTCCACATGTAAGTGATAGCATATGGTATTTGTCTTTCTCTTTCTGACTTACTTCACTTAGTATGATAATCTTTAGTTGCATCCACATTGCTGCAAATGGCATTATTTTGTTCTTTTTTATGGCTAATGTTCCATTGTGTGTATGTACCACATCTTCTTTATCCATTCCTCTGTCGACGGACATCCATGGTTGTTTCCATGTCTTGGCTATTGTGAATAGTGCTGCTGTGAACATAGGGGTGCATGTATGTTTTTGAATTATAGTTTTTTCTGGATATATGTCTGGGAGTGGGATTGCTGGATCATTTGGTAGTTCTATGTTTAGTTTTTTGAGGAACCTCCATACTGTTTTCCACAGTGGCTGCACCACCTTACATTTAAGGGTACTAGGCTTTTAGATCCACACCCATTCTCAGAGGATCTGTCTCAGGCCCCAGTTGGAGAAACACCTCATTAAACATTAAACATTGGCCCTTTAGGATACTCATCATCAAATGCAGACATGAGCCTTGAAATCACATAGACGGAGTTAGACCATGGCCAACAGATAATCTAGAAACATGAGCCTTGAAATCACATAGACGGAGTTAGAACATGGCCAACAGATAATCTAGAAACATGAGCCTTGAAATCACATAGATGGAGTTAGAACATGGCCAACAGATAATCTAGAAACATGAGCCTTGAAATCACATAGACGGAGTTAGAACATGGCCAGCAGATAATCTAGAATATGCTTATCCTAGGGTTTATTAGATTTTTATTAAAAAAATTAATATACCAACTGTAAAAATGTCTTCCAGGAGAACCCACATGTTCTCCCCATAGAACACTGCTGTGGGTCTCAGACCCATACATGAATAGCCGCTATCACTTTAGCATCCATTAATTGCAAACTTTTATTGTAACAAAAAGCTATATTAAGTCAGTAAAACTTTAAAATAAATTGGGATTTTATTCAAATGTTATCTACTAATACTTGGGAAAAACTTGCACATTTTATTCATCCTCTGGACAATTCTTGTGAACAGAGAGATTTAGGGACCCTTTGCAATATATCTGCAGGCCCACGTTCCGGGACCACCAGTGAACTACAGATGGGAAATCACTGTTCCAGTTTACTGGAGGGGTCCTCGCCTTAGAGTGGAATTACCCATCTAGGACAATCATTTTTAGATGGGGGAGGGAACAGAATTGGTCCATCATCCCCCCAAACTGGCAAAATCTGTGGCCAAGGCCACCCCAACATCTCCCACGCACGCCTGGTTTCCATCACCTTGGGGGAGGGGAGCTTCCCGGCAGCCCTCCACCTCCTTGAGGTGAGTCTTAGGGGTGGGGTGGGCCCCAGACTTAAGTATTTTTTTAGAAGTCCCCGAAGTGATTCTGATGTGTAGCCAGAATTAAAAATCCCTGTTCTGGTGGCAGGAAACATACCAGGGGTTCCCTGAGTAGACAGACTGGAAAGGATTTGAACAACCAAATCAGACTAAAGTGGTAGCCACTTAATCCTGGTTACATATCCTCAGAATAAAGCTGGGCTCCAGGGGACGCAGGCTGGGCAGGTGTAGGTGGCAGCATGAAAATCCTCCAAAATTGCTTCTGTTTGGTATCTGAACCCAGATCTAGACTGAATCCGAACAGTCCACCTTGTTAATATTAATCAGTACTGTTACTGTTTTTTCTTATCATACAGCTAATAGGTATCCGTTTTGGGAGGACAATATAGAAAATGCAGGTAAACCAAAGACCATGGGGAGGGATGGAGAGAGAGGAAGTAGAAAAGTAGATTAATCTGTTTCCTGTCACTAGAGAGAGTAGTATTGGGGTGTCATTTGAAAAAACTAGAAACAGTGTTTTACTCTGGTTTTTCCCTTACGAACCTGTTGTGAATCTCTTCCTCTGTCAGTTATATGACTGTTCAGTCCTCCACTGTGTGGATGCCACATACTTTGTTACCAGTTCCCTAATGCTGGGTATGTGGATTGTTTCTGAATGTTTGCTCATGTTAAGAAATATTCTGAATGTCCTTATAACTAAATATTTTTGCACATCTTTGATCTCCTGAGGACTATAAAATATTATTTAGGGCTTCCCCAGTGGCGCAGTGGTTGAGAGTCTGCCTGCCGATGCAGGGGACGCGGGTTCGTGCCCCGGTCTGGGAAGATCCCACATGCCGCGGAGCGGCTGGGCCCGTGAGCTGTGGCCGCTGAGCCTGCGCGTCCGGAGCCTGTGCTCCGCAATGGGAGAGGCCACAGCAGTGAGAGGCCCGCGTACCGCAAAAATATATATATATATTACAGGCTCATTCTCCCCAGCCATCTCACACTCCCTAAACCCAGAGAGTTCTAGGGCCTTGTGACTCAGCCCCATCACCCTGTCCCTTCATTGAGCGACTGATGGGTTATTAGGAAAGCATCCCAGCCCGACCGCATTCCTGCCCTGGTCGCCCTTCCCTGGGGGGAAGCAGCCCAGCATCCTCCCGGGAGCTGGCACCCTGTGTGTTTCATGACAATGATTGTGTCTCCTCCGGAACGAATCCAGAGCAGGTATTGCTCATTGTCAGGCACGGGCATGTGTGTAGTTTCTCAAGTCCCCCTTTGTACTGACTGACCAAAGCTAAAGTGATTTTTCTAGATGCCAAAGTTAATTTGTCACAGTGATGCATTGATCTGATGATTCCCGTCATAAAACTAATCCCCACGTGTAGTCTACGTGGAGACGTTCATTCTTTTTCCAACCCTAATCTTTTTTTTTTTTTTTTTTTTTTTTTTTGCGGTACACGGGCCTCTCACTGTTGCAGCCTCTCCCGCTGCGGAGCACAGGCTCCGGACGCGCAGGCTCAGCGGCCATGGCTCACGGGCCCAGCCGCTCCACGGCACGTGGGATCCTCCCGGACCGGGGCACGAACCTGTGTCCCCTGCATCGGCAGGCGGACTCCCAACCGCTGCGCCACCAGGGAAGCCCCAGCCCTAATCTTTTAACCTCTTTGGAAGATAACTTTTGTCCACTCTGCACCGCTTGGTGATGGCTTCCGGCCAAAAGCGACCAGGCTGTGACCTGGACCTGAACTGAAGGTGTGAACGGTGGATAATGATGTGGTCACGCTCCTGGACCAAGGGCCCCACCCACAGGCGTGATGGGCTGCAGGTGCCCCCGCTGTGGCTGGGGGCTTGCCCCCTGCCCACCTTTGGAGCTCCCTGCTCCAGACCAGCCCTGGGCTGTGCCCACCCCAGCAGCCCCCCCACCCTGCCTTCCCTGCCTCTCTTTACATAGCGGTCCTTCTTACTCTCAGGTACGTCTGGGAGAAGGATGGGGCCACATTGAGCATGGAGGGCAACCCCCGCATCCGTCTGGACAGAAACGGCTCCCTGCACATCTCTCAGACGTGGTCCGGGGACATCGGCACCTACACCTGCCGGGTGCTCTCAGCCGGAGGCAATGACTCTCGCAGTGCCCACCTGCGTGTGAGGTGAGGGCAGGCTCCGGGGGGTAAAGGGGTGCAGGCAGCAAAGGGAAGGCTGCGTCTAGGCAGGCCACCAGGCCAGGTGTGACCTGAGCCCGCCCACCTCACCCCAGCATCCTCCAGGCCTTCGCCAGCTCAGTTCGGCCCCTGTCAAGGGCGGGGAGTCTGGGTTATGGCTTTGGCCAGGTGGGCTCCAAAGCCAGTGCACAGAGTCTCCAGCTCGATGGCCCCAAAGGCTGGGTTCGGGGGCCGAGCACCAGATATCATGGGAGCTCAGACTGAGTCCTGGGTGTCACCTGATTCTAGACCTCACGGGGGGGGCCCCGCCACACCTGTCTCCTCCAGGCAGCTGCCTCATGCCCCTGAGCACCCAGTGGCGACTCTCAGCGCCGCGGAGAGAAGGGCCGTCAACCTGACATGGGCCAAGCCCTTCGACGGCAACAGCCCGCTGATCCGCTACGTCCTGGAGATGTCGGAGAACAGTAAGGCTGCTCCCACCCCCTCCACTGACCGCAGCCAGGGCGACCCCACTTCTGTGCCTTTGAGCCAACCCTCTGGACGGCCCAGCTCCCTCATCTGTAAAATGAGCCACGGCATCCTGCCGTCGTGTGACAATTGAACGAGATGACGCACAGGCTGGACTTGGGACCTGCCACCCAGAAGCCTCCAAGACACTGGCCATTAGTTTTTTGTTTGTTTTTTGTTGGGTTTTTTTTATTATTATTAATTTATTTATTTATATATATTTTTTTGGCTGCGTTGGGTGTTCGTTGCTGTGCGCGGGCTTTCTCTAGTTGCGGCGAGCGGGGGCTACTGTTCGTTGTGGTGCGTGGGCTTCTCATTGCAGTGGCTTCTCCTGTTGTGGAGCACGGGCTTCAGTAGTTGCGGCTCTCGGGCTCTAGAGTGCAGGCTCAGTAGTTGTGGCCACGGGCTTAGTTGCTCCACGGCATGTGGGATCTTCCCGGACCAGGGCTCAAACCCGTGTCCCCTGCATTGGCAGGTGGATTCTTAACCACTGCGCCATCAGGAAAGTCCCTGGCCATTAGTTGTTTTTTTTTTTTTTTAATTTTTATCTTCCATCCCCAAGCCATGAACTCCAAAATTAGCAGGCATCATTTGAGTGGTGTTTCAAATACAGTTTGCTAGAGCTCATCAATTTGAGAAAAAACAAAAAAGATAGAAAAGACAAATGCCTCTCAGTTCCCATGAGCCCTTGCTCCCTCCCCAGGACCCCCCAACCCCCTGGGACATGTGGGCTAAGGGGAACCCAGAAAAATGACGTGACCAGCCTCTACTGGACCAAGCTGGGGAGGTACTACCCTGCCAGCCCAAACGAGGCTGGACCCCTGCTGGGAATGGAGGGGGAAGAAGCGTGCACCCCCAAGATGCCTACCTCAGCCTCCACCCTCTGTCCCTGTAGATGCCCCCTGGACGGTGCTCCTGGCCAGCGTGGACCCCGAGGCCACCTCGGTGATGGTCAAGGGCTTGGTTCCCGCACGTTCCTACCAGTTCCGTCTTTGTGCCGTCAACGACGTGGGGAGAGGACAGTTCAGCAAAGACACAGAGAGGTGAGGGGAGCCGGGTGGGTGTCTGTCAGGGGCTCAACTCACTAACCCAGCTGAGTTGTCCCTCTCACTGTAGGCCATGCAAGTTCCAAGACTTAACCCCATTCTGCTGTACATCCCCATGGGTTGCCATCATTGTTAAACGCACGTGAATTTCCAAAGACGTCTAGGGTCTACACGGAGCTCTGTATGCAGTGCCTTGCATGGTGCCAGACCCCATGAAGCCTCCAACAAAGCTTTTTTTAAAATGATGAAAGTTTAATAAAAACAGCAGTTCACGCGTTTTAACACCCACTTGTGTAGGAGGCGCGTTCTAGCCGCCTAGACCCGCATAGAACAGGCAGCCTCCTCTAGTGAGAAAAAAGACATCAGGTCAGAATCATAGTGACACCAATTCCATGCCCCAAAGCTGTGTGCTTTGTTCTTTATTTTTTTATGTGTGTTTTTATTTTTTCCAGATTTATTGAGATATCGTTGACTTGTACCATTATGTAAGTTTAAGGTGTACAATGCGTTGATTTGACGCACTCCTCTATGGCAAAATGATTACCCCCATGGTGTTAGCTGACACCTCCATCCTGTCACATAATTACCGTTTCTTTTTGTGGTGAGAACATGTGAGATCAACTTTCTTAGTAACCTTCAAGTATATAATACAGAATTCTTAGCTCTAATCACCATGCTGTGTATTCCATCACCAGAACTTGTTATTCTTATAACTGGAAATTTATGCCTTTTGACTAACATCTTCCCCAGCCCCCCACCTCCTCTATTTCTCTGAGTTCAGCTCCTTTAGACTGCACATACAAGTGAGATCTACAGTGTGTGTCTTTCTCTGCCTGACTTATTTCACTTAGCATAACACCCTGCTGGTCCACCCATGTTTTTGCAAATGGCAGAATTTCTTTCTGTCTCATGGCTGGAAAATCTTTCACTGTGTAGCTGTGTTACATCTTCTTTATCCATTTATTTGTTGACGGACACTTAGGGTGTTTCCATATCTTGGCTGTTGTGAATAATGCTGCCGTAAACAGGGGGGTGCAGATATGTCTTCGAGATCCTGTTTTCATTTCTTTGGGGTGAATATATACCCAGAAGTGGGGTAGCTGGATCACGTGGTAGTTCTGTTATCAATTTGGGGGGGAACCTCCATATTGTTTCCCATAGTCCCTGTACCACTTTTTACTCCCACCAACAGTGCACGAGGGGTCCCTTTTATCCACATCCCCACCAACACTTGTTGTTTGTTGCCTTTTTTGTTTCTGTTTTTGTTTTGCGGTACGCGGGCCTCTCACTGCCGTGGCCTCTCCCGTTGCGGAGCACAGGCTCTGGACGTGCAGGCTCAGCGGCCACGGCTCACGGACCCAACCGCTCCTCAGCATGTGGGATCTTCCCGGACCGGGGCACGAACCCGCGTCCCCCGCATCGGCAGGCGGACTCTCAACCACTGCGCCACCAGGGAAGCCCTGTTTGTTGTCTTTTTGATAATAGCCATTCTGATGGGCATAAGGTAATATCTCACGGTGGTTTTGGTTTGCATTTCCCTGATGGTTAGTGACGTTGAGCACCTTTTCATTGACCTGTTGGCCATTTTTATGTCTTTTTTGGAAAAATGTCTATGCTGCTCATTTGCCCATTTTTTGATCAGATTATTTCGTTTTTTGCTGTTGAGTTGTATGAGTTCTTTATATATTTTGGATATTAACCCCTTGTCAGATACACGGTTTGCAGATATTTTCTCCCATTCCATTATGTCGCCTTTTCATTTTGTTGTTTCTTTTTCTGTGCAGAAGCTTTTTAGTTTGATATAGTCCCACTTTTATTTATTTTTGCTTCTGTTGCTTGTCCTTTTGGTGTCATATCCAGGAAATTACTGCCAAGACCAAAATCAAGGAGCTTTTCTCTTATGTTTTATTCTAGGAGTTTTATAGTTTCAGGTCTTAAGTTTGTCTTTAATCCATTTCGAGTTCACTTTGGGGAGTGGTGTAAAATAGAGGTCCAATTGCCTTCTTCTGCATATGGTTTTCCAGTTTTCCCAACATCGTTTATTGAAGAGACTATCCTTTTCCCATTGAGAAGAGTTAATATTGTTAAAATGTCCATATCGCCCAAAGCCATCCATTGATTCGATGCAATCCCTATCGCAATTCCAACAGCATTTTTCACAGAAATAGTAAAAAACAATTCTAAAATTTGTATAGAGCCACAAAAGACCCCAAATAGCCAAAGCAATCCTGAGAACAAAGAACAAAGCCAGAGGCACCACACTTCCCGATTCCCAACTATACTACAAAGTTACAGTAAACCAAAACAGTATGCTACTCATAAAAATAGACACATAGGGAATTCCCTGGTAGTCAAGTGGTTAGGACTCAGCACTTTCATTGCGGTGGCCCGGGTTCAATCCCTGGTTGGTGAACTGAGATCCTGCAAGCTGCAACCAAAAAAAAAAAAAAAAAAAATAGACACATAGACCAATGGAAGAGAATTGAGAGCCCAGAAATAATAGCAAATAGAAATAGCAAACAGTACTTGCTAAGGGAGCCAAGAATGCGCTTTGCTCTTTAAAAGATGCTCTTTGGTGTGTACACAGACCCCCCCCACTGGGTTAAATCAATCATTGTGGTTTCCCCACAGTTCCAATCAGTTTGAATCCCTCTGGCTTTTACTAGGGGGATGCCACAGGGACTGTGACACTCTAACAGGAGGGAGCAGTGACAGCTAACAGCCTGGCATGGAGAGCAGTTATAGGAGAATTTATTCATTCACTGTTTACTGAGCACCTACTATGTGCCAGGCCATGTTTGGACCATGAGAGGTGGTGCAGGGGAAAAAAATGGACATAGCCCCAATCCTTCAGAGCTACGAAATCCCAATAACAAGAAACCTCGAAGTGTAGGGAAACCATCCTATAACTTCTCCAGTCCTTCGGGCTTCCCTGTGTAATGCTGATTCATCTTCTCAATGAATCGTCCTGAGTCAGCAAGTAAAAGGTTAGATTACCCTCACTTTAGGCTTTACAAAGCCATGGGAGGGTGCAGGATGTTTTGGAAAAGCTATCCATCAGGAAACAAAAACATAAAACGGGAAAGACATCCATCAAAAATAATCAACTTTTGTTGTTAATGGATGCATGTCAGTTATGTGAAAAATACAGAAGTGGAATGCTGTGTCCCCTGGCCATGCCAGAGAAAGAAATGCAATAGCACTGGGCTTCGGGGGGTGCGGGGATGCTCAAACTCTCACGCACACGCCACGCCACCCCTACCCGGCCTGCCTCACCCCTGCCGGGGCTCAGCTGGTTCGTAAAGGAAGCGTGGTTCAAGTTCACCGCCAGCTGGTAACTGGGAGGTGAGTATTTGACACTCCTGCTTCTAAAATACTTGAACACTCATGACGTCATCAACCCCGACAGCAGCTTCTTTGACAAATGGGAAACCAAGGCCTGTGTCCCTCAACCGCACAGAAAATACATATATCTGATGCTTTACAGTGTTTTAAAAAGACTTCCATGTACATTGTGTCGTTCGAGCTTCAACCACTCATAAAGCAGGCAAGTGGACTTTATGATACTGCTTTTACAGGTAAAGAAGCAAGCTCAGAGAAGTTAAGTGACTAGCCCAAAAGCACACAGCAATTGTGCAGAGTCATCCAGGGACAGAGCAGGGTGTGGCCTCTTCCTATCCCATTAAACTCCTGTATTTACCATGGAGACTAGGAGTGAAAAGCCCTGCCCATTCTTGGTGTTTTCCTATCCAGGGTCTCCCTTCCTGAGGAGCCCCCCACGGCCCCTCCACAGAATGTCATCGCCAGCGGCCGGACCAACCAGTCCATCATGATCCAGTGGCAGCCACCTCCCGAGAGCCACCAGAATGGCATCCTTAAGGGCTACATCATCAGGTAGGCGTCCGCACCAGGGAAAGGAGGGGCCGCCCAGACTCAAGAGGAAAGAGATGAGGGAGGGTCAGGGAGTGGATTGGAAAACAGAGCAGATTCATGGCAGGTCCTTCTTCATCCACAAGGACCAGGCAACAAGAAATGCCTACACGACAGTAGGAGGGATTGAAGTTAGACATCTAGAAGAACTTCCAGCAGTGAGAGCCTTGGAAACCAATAGGAATGGTTAGAGAGGAGATACAATGTAGCCTCCTTAAGCCTGTATGGATGGCAGGTCTGCCAGACATCAGGGCTACATAGGAGTAGGGCTACACGGAGACACGTTACTATCCAGGGGACCAACCACCTGGGAAACCAAGAATATTCTAGCAGGCCAGATTTCCCCAGGACAGACAATGAGTGGGCAAATTACTAGGCCAAGAACTGGTTAAAAAGTGGAAGTCCTGGGCTTCCCTGGTGGCGCAGTGGTTGAGAGTCCGCCTGCCGATGCAGGGGACACGGGTTCGTGCCCCGGTCCGGGAAGATCCCACATGCCGCGGAGCGGCTAGGCCTGTGCGTCCAGAGCCTGTGCTCCGCAACGGGAGAGACCACAACAGTGAGAGGCCCGCATACCAAAAAAAAAAAAAAAGTGGAAGTCCTGTCTTTGGTCCCTACTGCCAAGTGGAGCCCAGTTATATAGCCTTTTATTTTTACATTTATTTTTACATTTATTTTTACATTTGACTGTGGGTGCTTTACTGGTAACCTGAAAGTGTATTACTAAGTTGTTACTAAAATTTGGTATTCATAAAAGAAAATTAGCCTGCTACTTGAAACTTCTGAGAACTCGTGTCAGTGTTCTGAACTCTGGCTGGTTGCAAGATGCTAGGCAACTTCACACATCTCTTTCCTGAATGTGTACACTCACAGCACTGGAATTCCCCGATTTTGGAAGCAGTTACTGTTGGTTTGGCTGCTCTACTATCGGTTAATTTCGTCGTGGGCTTTTTGGTGAATCCTAAAGGGTGGTGGTTCTCAAAGTGTGGTCCCTGGACCAGCAACGTCAGCATCACTTGAGAACTTGATAGGAATGCAAATTCTCAAGTCCTACCCCTCACCTATGGAATGAGAACCTTTGGGATAAGCCCAGCAATCTGTGTTTCAACAGGCTTTTCGGGTGTCTTTAATGCACGCTAAGGCTTTGAGAACCACTGCTGTGGGGTTTTGTGAAGCATCAGAATAAGTTGGGGCCTCTGATTTCCCCATAGTTAGACGCTAGAGTATGTGTGCACTGTTGTTCTCCTATGAGCTATCCATCCTCCAGTATTTGCCTGTACGTATCCCATTTCTTTATTACCCTGCATTCTTTTTTCCAGTGGAAGGTGGAACTTGGTAGCGTACGTAGCCTCAGGTTTTTTTCTTTCCACCTCAGTGAATGGCTGTCAGGAGAGGGAGCCCTTCTCCTAGAAGGAGAAAGGAAATGAGCCCAACCTTTGGAGACCACTCTTTGATCAGCGACCCCTCAAAGCTAGACCCGTGAGATCTTCCCAGGAGCTCTCAGCATCCCTGGCTAGCTATCCTACCAATGTCCTCCTCCCCCCTCAAACAGAAGAGTCCAGACACATCCCCTGGACTTGCGTTATCCCGTGGGGTAGCCGCTGGTCACTTGCAGCCACTTAAATTAATAAAAAAGTAAATTAAATGACAAACGTAGTTCCTCGGTTACATTAAGCACGTTTCAGGTGCCCAAAAACCACAAGTGCCAGCAGGTTCCATGTTGGACAGCATGGATGTGGGTTTCCACCATCACAGACAGCTTCCTGGGCACGAGGACAGCAGGCTGACTCCAATCCATGGCATCTTGGCTTTCTCCCCTCAGGTACTGCCTGGCCGGGCTGCCTGTTGGGTACCAGTTTAAGAACATCACGGATGCTGATGTCAACAACCTGCTGCTGGAGGACCTCATCATCTGGACCAACTACGAGATCGAGGTGGCCGCCTACAACAGCGCCGGACTGGGTGTCTATAGCAGCAAAGTCACCGAGTGGACACTGCAGGGAGGTGGGTGGGGACAGTGGCCGTGGAGGAGCTGGTGCTTCCCCCTCTCCGTGCCTGATGGGTCCTGACTGTCCAGTCCTGACTGCCTCAACCGTGTCACCTGTTTTATCCAGTCCCAGGCTGTCACATGCTGTGCCCAGCTACCCCGTAGGGTGGGAGGACGGAGGGAAAGACGGATGAAGAGGTTGGGGTGGGTGTGATGAACGCAGAGGCTTCGGGGATACAGGGACCTTCTGCAAAGTTACCCATTAACTGGATCATGAAACAGCTTACATTTAGCGTTGTGCCTAAAAACCACCCTGAGCATTTTCAGATCCGTCACTTTTATTTGTGGGTACCTGTGAAATGGGCCAGACTGGTTTCATTAAACCCAAACTAATCTGCAGAAGGAGGGCATCTGAAGTCTCCGTAGCAGCAGGGGAGAAGCTGGGGGGAGGGGTGTAAAGCAGGGTCCGCAGACCTCGTGTGTTTTCGCTGCTTAACCGGGCCGGACAGTCAGACGGTGCCCCCTCCACACACACCCCTACCTCTCTGCTCTCCTCCAGTGCCCACGGTCCCTCCGGGCAACGTGCATGCAGAAGCCACCAACTCCACGACCATCCGCTTCACCTGGACTGCCCCCAGCCCCCAGTTCATCAACGGCATCAACCAGGGCTACAAGGTACTTAAGGCCTCTCCTTGCCCCGAGAGGAAGCCTGGAGATTCTCGGAAGGACGCAGGCCACAGAGGCAGGGAGAAGGCGAGGAAGGGGGAGGAGGGAGTCCCCGCTCTGTCTCTGAATCATTGGTTCAAGCCAAGCAGAGGACACGTGATCAAGGCAAGGGGCATGCGGGCTTTCCCCAGGTCCACGTCCAGGCCACGGGGAGTACGGACACTGGCCTGTGTGTGAGCCAGTGCAGGGAGCAGTCAGTCTTGATGAGCCTGCCTTATGAACAAAACCAGGTTTGCTTCAGGTTCAGGGTCCCCGCACAGCCACGGCCCCATCAGAAAAATCCAGAACGGGGCTTCCCTGGTGGCGCAGTGGTTGAGAGTCCGCCTGCCGATGCAGGGGACACGGGTTTGTGCCCAGGTCCGGAAGGATCCCACATGCCATGGAGCGGCTGGGCCCGCGAGCCATGGCTGCTGAGCCTGCGCGTCCAGAGCCTGTGCTCCGCAACAGGAGAGGCCACAACAGTGAGAGGCCCGCATACCGCAAAAAAAAAAAAAAGAAAAATCCAGACCGTGCTTCTTACCCCCAAGCCATGGGCTAATGGGCACTCTGCAGGGTCATCTGTCCTCAGACTGTACTTGACCCTACACAGTGTGTTTAAGGGCAGGAGTAGGACTCAGAAAGCTTAGATTAAAGTCCTGGCTCTGCCTCTGGCCAGGCCCCTGGACAAGTCCTATGAACTGTCTGAGCATCCTTCCTTCAATAAGTGTTTACTGAGCCCAACCATGGGCGCTGTTCTGGCTGCTGGAGAGCCAAGAGACATCCTGTTTCCTCCTTTGCACACGAAGGTGATGATAATTTCTGTCCCTTAGGATTGGATGAGGACTAAATGAGAATATTTGTAATTTTTTCAGCAGAATGACACCTAAGAAGCATTCCGAAAACGGTAGCAATAGTAGTAGAAATGGATTCGTTGCTCAGGCTGCCCTCACAGAGTATCACAGATTGGGCGGCTTAAACAGCAGAAATGTATTTCCTCACAGTTCTGGGGGCCGGAAGTCCAAGGTCAAGGTGCTGATAAGGCTGGTTCCTTTTGAGGCGTCTCTTCTTGGCATGTAGACGGCCGCCTTCTCTGTGTCCTCACGCGTCTTCCTTCTGTGTGTCTGTGTCCAGACTTCCGCTTCTTAGAAGGACACCAGTTCTGTTGGATGAGGACCCACACTAAGGACCTCGTTTTAACTTAATTACCTCTTTAAAGGCTATCTCCAAACACAGTCACATTCTGAGGTCCTGGGGGTTAGGGCTTCCACATAACAATGGGAGGGGAAACAATTCAGCCGTAACAAAAAGCACTAGTAGCAGTGGTGACGGTGATGGTAGTAAATTTGCTATAATTGGAACTGTGCTGCAAGTCGAGACTTCTCAACCATCCCCTTCTGGCAGCCACTCCTGGGTCTCTCCTCTCACCCCACGAGGAGCACGGAGCTGACCTTCCCTAAGAGAATGGGAGATGGCAGATCACAGAGTGTGTGGTCCACGCCGTGTTTTACGGCTTGGCCTCAGCTGAGTGGGGCGGGTGGGAGGAGGCAGTGCGCTCCCTCCGGATGTGAGAGGCATGTCACCAGGAAGCCAGCCGTGGAGGGCAGGGAACCGCGGGCTCTGCTGGCCTCGAGGTGACCGCAGATACTTCCAGAAGATTCCCACACCAGCCGTGTGTGACAACAAGGACCATTTCTAGGACTAGCAGCCTTAGCCTTTGTTGCTGCAAGGTGGGGGATGGCTGGACGGGAAGGGGCTGAGATTAAATCACCCAGAGAATTTTCTGCCGGTGTTTCAAGTAAAGGAGGGAGGGTCCAGATCCCGATACACCCCAGCCGCAGACATCTCGCTTCTAGGAAAGTGCATCACTGAAGCCGAGCGGGGCCCTCCTGGACCAGGGCTGTAGCTGCTCGCCGGTAGTTCCGGCTGGCTGGAGAAACCTCCTAATTGGGACTCTGGGGGGAGGCAGTGGAGGGAAGAGGGAGGCTTGCATCATGCAGAGGAGCTGAGCTGGGAAGAATTAGCTTCTTGCTGCCGGTTCTAAGTTTTCTTCCACTTTGGGGAGACCTGGGCTGCAAACTTCTAAGGTAAATGGCTCCCAGAGGGCCAAGGAGACCAGCTTAGTGGCCGGGACAATTAGGGCAGTGACCCAGAGCCAGAGGAAGCTGCAGAAGCCCGCCTGATTCCCAGGTCCAGTCTGTGCCCAGCACCCCATAACTGCTGCAAGAAAGTCAGCAGAAATGAATTGTCCAGATAGCTTGAGCATAGAAACTGGTGCGTAAGAAGAGCTCACGCTTCCGGGGCACTTTCTACAGGCCAGGCAGGATGCCTGGGCTTCCCTCACATTCTTGTCTCCTACAAGCTGCACAAGATCCCTAAGAAGGAAGGCGTGTTATCATCACCCCATTTTACAGAGGAGGAAACTGAGGCATGAGGGCCAGTGACTTGTTCACAGTCAGAGTAACTGCAAAGCTTGGCTTCAAACTCCAGAGCCTGCACTTCGTCTTGCATTAAAAAGAAAGTGTTGTATGATTTAATTGTAAATAACTATAACTTGATTTTTTCTAAGTATGAATGGATACAAGTGGGGATTTTGTTTCCTGCTCCTTTGACCTTCAGTATCACAGGGAGGGGAAAAAAGCAGCGTCTGTCCCTTCCATCCTTCCAGTGAGAAGGGACCTTTTTTTCCCCTTTAAATTGTGAACAATTTCAAACATCTACAAAAGTAGTGAGGAGACTAAGATGACTTCATCAGACCATAACGCACCCTGGCTTCGACAGTTACCAACTCACGGCCCAATGCGTTCCCTCTATTTTCCAGCCCTCTGCTTCTCCCCTAGAATATTTGTAAGGAAATCCCAGGTATTGTAGCCTTTCATCCATAAATATTTCTGCAGAGAAATATTATAGATAAAGTCTCTACTTAAAACCTAAACACAATAACCACATTCCCATTATAGTGCCTTAAAAAATCAACAGTCCCCTTAATAGCATCAGATACCCCGTCAGCATTCAAATTTCCCCAGTTGCCGCGGCATTTCTTTTACTGGTTGGTTTATTTGCCTCAGGGTCCAAATGAGAGCCACACAGTTGCAACTGGTTGAAGTTTTCTAGGTCTCAGTTGATCTACAGATTCTCCCTCTCCTTTCTCTCTCTCACTCTCTCTTCCTTTTAATTTATTTAGTAAAGAAACTTAGTCAGGGCTTCCCCGGTGGCGCAGTGGTTGAGAGTCCGCCTGCCAATGCAGGGGACGCGGGTTCGTGCCCCGGTCCGGGAAGATCCCACATGCCGCGGAGCGGCAGGGCCCGTGAGCCACGGCCTCTGAGCCTGCGCGTCCGGAGCCTGTGCTCCGCGACGGGAGAGGCCACAACAGTGAGAGGCCCGCGTACCGCAAAAAAAAAAAAAAAGAAAGAAAGAAACTTAGCCATTTGTCCTATAGAGTTTTCTACAGCCTGGATTTGCAACTGCATCCCTGTGGGGTCATTTAATATATCCCTCTGAACACTATATTTGCAGTAAATTGGAATTTAGAACTAGAGGCTTGATCATATTCAGATTTGAATTTTTTATTTTCAAAATATTACTTCCTAGATGGTGCTGTGCATTTTCATTAGAAGGCACGGAGTCTGCCTGTCTCTCTTACTAAGATGTGGTGACCATTGACCACCCCTGTGTGCTCTATTATCTCAATAGGGGATACTTGAGGATATGAAATGTATTCAAGTATCAAAATGAGGATACTTGAATATTATGATTTCTCCTTGATTTATGAGTTGAAATACTTTCCCCCCAAAAGAATTTTTCCGTTCACAACTTTTTGGTTACCTGAAGGTTTAGTTCGTCTAGGAAAAGCATGGTAAATGCTCAGTTCTTTTCCATGACTTAACAATTTTCAGAATAGTGAATTGTTTCCTTAGCATCTTCTAAGGTGACAGATGAGTTTGGATGGGGGCAGAGGGAGGCATCTTTTTGTTTTGTTTTTGTTAGTATTATTATGTCCTTAAGGATTTTTAATACGTCTGATATGTTTCAATCCACTGCCATTATTACTCTCATTGATACCAAATTAACCCATCACCCACCTCTTCCAAGTTGGTGAGTCCTTTTGATGTGGCCCCAGGAGTCTTTTTTTTTTAATTCTTTTTTTAAAATTTTATTTATTTATTTATTTATTTATTTTTGGCTGTGTTGGGTCTTCGTTTCTGTGCGAGGGCTTTCTCTAGTTGTGGCGTGCGGGGGCCACTCTTTTTTTTTTTGCTGTACGCGGGCCTTTCACTGCTGTGGCCTCTCCTGTTATGGAGCACAGGCTCCGGACGCGCAGGCTCAGCGGCCATGGCTCATGGGGCCCAGCCGCTCCGCGGTATGTGGGATCTTCCCAGACCAGGGCTTGAACCCGTGTACCCTGCATTGGCAGGCGGACTCTCAACTACTGCGCCACCAGGGAAGCCCGGGGACCACTCTTCATCGCGGTGCACAGGCCTCTCATTGTCACGGCCTCTCTTGTTGCGGAGCACAGGTTCCAGACACGCAGGCTCAGCGGCCATGGCTCACGGGCCCAGTTGCTCCATGGCATGTGGGATCTTCCCAGACCAGGGCTTGAACCCGTGTCCCCTGCATTGGCAGGCAGATTCTCAACTACTGCGCCGCCAGGGAAGCCTGCCCCAGGAGTCTTTGATAGGTTCCTTGCTATCTGGTATGACAGGGTGGCCCAAGGTAGCTCCTTTTCCTGCCCTGTGCCTGGGATCAGCCATGTCATCAAGGAGCCCTTGTTTCTTTTTTTTTTTTTTTATTTTTGTTGTACGCGGGCCTCTCACTATCGTGGCCTCTCCCCTTGCGGAGCACAGGCTCCGGACGCGCAGGCTCAGCGGCCATGGCTCTCGGGCCCAGCCGCTCCACGGCACGTGGGATCCTCCCGGACCGGGGCACGAACCTGCGTCCCCTGCATCGGCACGCGGACTCACAACCACTGCGCCCCCAGGGAAGCCCCCTTGTTTCTTTTAATGATAGTTAGATGCCAAAATCTGGGCACTGGGGCTGCTCCTGGTTCTAGCATTGGTTGTTGTTTCAAGGCCCTGTGAATGGACAACTCAGAAATACTTTTTTTAAAGATAAAACACATACTGATACTTCCAATTCAATTTCAGGACTCTAACATTTTAAAAATAATCTCATTGGTCTTTTGTCTCTCTTTTCTCCATTCTGAAAACCTGGTTTCTTCCACAGCAACAGAATTACTCACTACTTGATCCCACAAATACCCACGACAGTTTCAGAACAGCAATATCAACACTGTGATTACTGAAAATAGTTTCAGATTATCTGTACTTCTTAGGAGGTATCCCACCAGGGATACAGTCCCCCCCTTTCTGTGCTGCAAAGTCTCTGAAATGGTTTCTTTCTGTGTCATTTTGCTACAATTCAATATACAGTGAGGTTCGTTTGTTTCATTTGGGTTTCGATGTTTAGGGATTGATTTTTTTATTTAATTTTATTCTGTAATTATGTAGCATATTTACATGGTTCCCAAGTTAAAGGTGCAAAGCAAAGTTAATTCAGAAGAAAATCCGCCTGAATTCTGGTCCTCCTCCTTCCCAAGAGAAGTGATTTCTTTTTGTTTGTTGGTTTGGTTCGGTTTTCCCTTCCATGTCTTTAACACAAACAAAAGCTACGCGTGTATAAATGTGTACCGTCGCCTTCTTAGATAAATGACAGTGTACTCCACGTACTCTCTCCATTTTGCTTTTTTATTTACATTGTATCCTGGAGGTCTCTCTGTAAGAGTATATAGAGATATTCCTTGTCCCTTTTTTAAAAATCTGTTCCATTGTGTGGATCTCCCATTGTTTAGTCAGCCAGCTCCCTAGTGATGACATTTTGGTTGTTTCCAGTCTTTTACTATAACAAAGATTTCTGCAGTGAATAGTTTTGTGCCTACATTTTTTCGTACTGTCACATATAACTCTGAAATAGATTCTTAGAAATGAGATTGCTGGGTCAGAAGGTAAATGTGTATAACTTTGCTGCTATTGCCAAACCGCCCCCATTATTTTTTTAATTTTTTAATTTAATTTTTAACTGGGAATATATTTACACGATTCAAAAACCAACAAATGTAAAAAGATAAACTTGTAGCAGGCAGACATCCTCCATCTCACGCCATGCCAGCCCAGTCCCTCATCTGCCTGGTTCTATCCCACCCAACCTTGAAATTCTCCACACTCCAGGGAACCACTGTTGTTAATTTCTTACATATCCTTCCAGGATGTTTTGTGCGAATCCGTGCAAGAGATAGAAAAGTAGAGGGAAAGACAAAGGGAGGGTGCAAAAGAGAATTTCCCCTACTTGTTTTTAACTCCAGAATCTAGCAGGTTATACTCTCCTAGACTCTCGAGCCCGCGAGGTACTGCCTCCATCAGAAACAGGAGGCACGTCAGTTCAGCCCTTTTCCCCACAACCATTGAGGTAGCTAATACCGGCTCCTGTAATAGCCTGAGGCTCAGAGAGGTTGAGTGATTTTCCCAGGGTCACACAGTAAATGGCAAAGCTGTGCTCTGTCGTCCTTTCTCTCAGCTTTGGCTGCACATTCTGCACCCTGGCCCCCCCACCATCACACACACACACACACACACACACACACACACACCTTTCAGTTACAGGGGTGACCCCCTGGGCCTCTGCTGTCTAAGCTGGAGTTGCCTGTCCCACCATCTAGATCTGAAGTCCCCCCACAAGCACACTCACCCACACACCCCAGCCATGCTCAGGGCAGCCCAGTCTGCTTAGAATCCAAGACCAAGGACCTGAGGAAGTCAATCAGCGCTGACCCCCGGTAACAAGAGCAGGCGTGGAGAACCCCCAGCCCTCACCTGGCAGCTGTGTGTACCTCGGCAGATAGAGGGCTGCATCTAAGGTCTCAGGTCCACAAATCTGAAGCCAGATCCAGGTGGTCCCCTGTGCACTGACCGGTCCTCAACCTTCCTGAGCCTTGGTTTCCTTTTTGTAGCAGCACAGGACAGTGATTCGCATGTCCTCCTCATTGTGATGGTGAAACGGGACTGGTCCGTGATGGGCTTAACCCAGTGCCAGGCACACAGGAAGGGCTCATGGGACCAGAGCCCAGTGTGTGTGTGGAGCACAGCCTCCACCCCATGGCTGCCCAGAGCCCAGCCCCTTGGAAGCAACAGAGGTGCAGAAGACAATTCTATTGTCTTCCTGGACCTGAGGGAGAGGCCTCTTAACCCTTAGCCTCCTCCTCTTTGGATGCAGCTACAGGACAAGTGGTTCACATCCCAGAGTAAATGTTTTGAAGCAACCCCTGTCCTGCCTCCGTCTTGGGCTCTGGGCCTGGACCTGGAGGATGATGCTGTGGTCATGACTCCACCCAACCGCACGACCATCACCCTGTCCCCATCTTCTTTGTCATATCTGAAGACAATTCCCTGTGAATGTGCTTTAAGGCACCTGTCAAGACATTCTTTGTCCCTTATTTTATTTATTTTTTTTTTTACACAGGCCTCTCACCCTTGTGGCCTCTCCCGTTGCGGAGCACAGGCTCCGGACGCGCAGGCTCAGCGGCCATGGCTCACGGGCCCAGCCGCTCCGCGGCATGTGGGATCTTCCCGGACCGGGGCACGAACCCGTGTCCCCTGCATCGGCAGGCGGATTCTCAACCACTGCGCCACCAGGGAAGCCCGTCCCTTATTTTTTTAAATAGTAGTGATCACAATTGGCCTAAACCCGAAAAAATAATATTTACCCAGATTTTGCACTTACTGGAGAATGCACCACACAATTCTAATGGTGTAATTAATTCGCAATTACATTGATTAAAGTATATTAAAACATCAAGCTTGTTTCTTAATCTACTCCAGCGAAGTTCAGCGATTGAATTGCTATGAAACAAGATAACCGCAATAAGGAGGGCATTTAACCTACGTATTAAATACCACTTAGTGTTTCTGATTAGTATTTTTAGGGTCTAATTGGTATCTAATTAACTTGCTATAGGCTATCTTTTCACAATACCAATTAAATTCCCAAACATCCTTTATAAACACACGGCCATGAAAAGGAGGAGATGAAGCATTGTCATCGGCCTGAGTTAATCAAGAGACATTGGTGTGGTATTGTTTTATGTCTATAAATACCCAGGCTTATTAAAATTCATCCAGCATAGCTTTTCACCATTAATTGCTATTTAATCAATTTGAAATAATTGAGGAAATCTGTGAGACCAGCTGTCATTGTTAGAGACAGACGAAGGGCCCAGAAAATAGGAGTGTGGGGCAGGAGGTCAAGAAGCAGCAGGAACGTGCAGCAACACGGATGCAACTAGAGATGTTCCTGCTAAGCGAACTGAGTCAGACAGAGAAAGACAAACACCACACGATGTCACTCATATGTGAAATCTAAAATACGACACAAATGACGTTGTCTACGAAACAGACTCACAGAGAACAGACTTGTGGTTGCCAAGGGGGAGAGGGCTGGGGGAAGGATGGATTGGGAGTTTGGGGTTAGCAGATGCTAACATAGCAGGTGCTATATTTAATGCTAAAGTATTATATATAGGATGGATAAACAACAAGGTCCTACTGTATAGCACAGGGAACTATATTCACTATCCTGTGATAAACCATATGGAAAAGAATATTAAAAAATAAGAATGTATAGGGCTTCCCTGGTGGCGCAGTGGTTGGGAGTCCGCCTGCCGATGCAGGGGACGCGGGTTCGTGCCCCGGTCCGGGAGGATCCCACATGCCGCGGAGCGGCTGGGCCCGTGAGCCATGGCCGCTGAGCCTGTGCGTCCAGAGCCTGTGCTCCGCAACGGGAGAGGCCGCAATGGTGAGAGGCCCGCGAACCGCAAAAAAAATAATAATAATAAAAAAATTAAAAAAGGATGTATAAATGTGTATAACTGAATGACTTTGCAGAAGTTAACACAACATTGTAAATCAACTTTATTCTTCAATTTTTAATAAAGGAGGAAGGAAGGGGAGGTGGGGCGTTTATGCAGTTATGGCTGGGATATGTAGAGTGGAGATTAGAGGAAAATTGCTGCTGAATTTCCAGACGGGGTTTTCTTGCCAATGCTCCACCTCTAGAGGATGGTTACAGTTGAAATCCCAACTTGGAACAAGTTTAAAAGAGAGAGTTATCTACATACTGGAGTTCTTAGGAGGAACTGCCCCGGCCCAGGCAGAGAGAGGCATGGGAGCCCAGGTGTAGAAGCAAAGACCGTCAGCTACCCAGGAGCTGTGTGGTATATTGTAAGTCACTTAGCCTCTCTGAGCCTGTTTCGTCATCTGTAAAAAACAAGACTGGCTTCATGCCTGTGTGGGGGTTCAGGGCTCCACGCTCAGAAGGACCCCACGTTCAGTTAAATGCTCTGCTGCCGTCTCTGGAAATTCTTCATAATTTTTGAACAAGGGGGCCTCCATTTGCATTTTGCACTGGACCTGCAAATTATGTAGCCAGTCTTGGTCAAGTACCTCCCTGTGGGGTTGCTGTGGGAATCGAGTGGGAGAGGACTCACTGAAACCACCCTGCCCGGTACCTTGCTTAGAGTAAATCACTCAGCAAATGGAGCAGCACACCAAAGTGAGCTCCCAGAGGACAGATGCTCCAGTGGCCTGTGGGTATCCGCCCGGCCTCCCCTCCCTGGGAGGAGGGACCCTAGGAAAGCTGGGCTCCCGGACACTCTCTGTCCGTTGGCCCAGCCTGTGGGAAAGCGCTGGGCCTCTGCTGGCGCGTGCTCGCTGCCACCCTGCTTGAGTGGCTGCCCTCTCCGCAGCTGATGGCCTGGGAGCCAGAGCAGGAAGAGGAGGTTACCATGGTGACCGCCCGGCCCAACTTTCAAGACAGCATCCACGTGGGCTTTGTGTCGGGCCTGAAGAAGTTCACTGAGTACTTCACCTCGGTGCTGTGCTTCACCACCCCCGGTGACGGGCCTCGCAGCACCCCGCAGCTGGCGCGCACCCACGAGGACGGTAGGCAGCGCCCTAACCCCGGCTCCCTCTGCCCCCACCCCCCTCCGCGGGCCAGGCTGAGCGCTCCAGGCCCAGGACGGCCCTGCTCTTGTCTTCGAGCCGGGGGTCGCCCCTGGAGCCCCACGGGCTGTCTTGAGGACGGTGGTCTCCCTCCGGCTCTAACTGGCATTGGGTGGGTGGGGGACCCTTTTGGGTACAGTGCCAGGGCCCGTGGGACACCTGAGCTTCACTGAAATCCTGGACACCTCGCTGAAGGTCAGCTGGCAAGAACCAGGGGAGAAGAACGGCATTCTCACAGGTAGGCGCCACGGCATCGCTGCCCCGGGGTGAGACGGGCGGCAAAGGCCCTCCCGTCCATGCCCCTCCCTTCGACCTAGTGTGCACCCAGAGCCTCCCAGCAGGCCACTCTTTCTTAGAAAGGACTCATGGGAGGCTCTCAGCCCCCGTGCTCTGAGCCACATCCCAGATCTTCAGCCGCAGTGACCCACCCTCCCTCCTGCAATCCACACCCAACGAGGGGCACCCACCCAGGTTACACTCGGGGCCCCAGGCACGATGCTCCCACCTCCCTCGGCCCCCTCCTTCCAATGCGTGTCTAACTGCCAGACTAGTAAGGAAGTGAGAAGCAGGGCAGAAGGTTAAGGTCCCAGCCAAGCTCACACCACACTGGGGCCTCTCCCCAGGATATCGGATCTCCTGGGAGGAGTATAACCGGACCAACACCCGCGTGACGCACTACCTGCCCAACGTCACCCTGGAGTACCGCGTCACGGGCCTCACCGCGCTCACCACCTACACCATCGAGGTGGCCGCCATGACCGCCAAGGGCCAGGGCCAGGTGTCTGCCTCAACCATCTCCTCCGGGGTGCCTCCAGGTGGGTGCCTGCCCCCCGCGCTGGGCTCCTGGCCTCTTGTTCTCCTGTTCGGGAGGAGGCCCCTTCTTCAGGAAGATTGGCTTCTTCCTACACAGCTCTCCCCTCCCTGGAGTCTGGGGTTCCCGGGTCCTCCCAGGGCCGGCTGCATCCTTGTGATGGTGAGGCCGTGTGGGCTGCTGCCGCTTCCTCCCCTGACTCTCGGGGAGCCCGGGCCCCCGCAGAACCCCACCCTTGCCTCCTTCCGCCACTGCCCCCTCCCTCTGCTCCCCCATCCTTCTCCAGGCTCTGCATCAAGCAGCGGTATCTATGATTCAGGGGAAGAATTCTCACTGTTGCCCAAAAGGTCCAAACGGATTCCAACCAGTGGAAATGTTGGTTGGGAAGGGGATAGAGCAGGGTGAGAATAACCTCACCCCCGGTGTAAACAGCAAGCTTTGGCCCCCATCGCGCTTCTGCCAGGCTCTGTGACCCTGAGCAAGTCAGGCGTCCCCCCCGTGCCTCAGTTTCCCCATCTGTGTCTATGGAGAGACACACCGGATAGCCACGTGGTCCTGTCTGGGTCTGTAAGTCTGTGCTTGTGCGATGTGGCCAGAATCCCTCGACCTGCCCACCGAGGTGGTTGAGATACCTGAGCTTCAACTGACCCCAAGTGATACACTGTAGTGCTCACCTGGCCCAGAGCTCAGTGCATCCGTGCACTTAGCCCTCCCAACAACCCTGAGGTAGGCAATATTATTATCATCTGCATTTTACCGAGGAAGACACTGCGGCACAGAAAGGTTAGGTAACTTGCCCAAAGGCACACAGCATCAGAAGCAGTGAAGTTGGATTTCAACTCAGACAGTCCGACCCCGGAATCTGTTCTCTCTCTGTTCACCCTGAACCCCAAGGTTCCTGGTCAGAATACAGGGACTTTGGGAATTCCCTGGTGGTGTAGCGGTTAAGAATACGCCTGCCAATGCAGGGGACACGAGTTCGAGCCCTGGTCCTAGAAGATCCCACATGCCGCGGAGCAACTAAGCCCGTGCGCCACAGCTACTGAGCCAGCGCTCTAGAGCCCGCGAGCCACAACTACTGAGCCCGTGTGCCTAGAGCCCGTGCTCCACAAGAGAAGCCACCGCAGTGAGAAGCCCACGCACCTCAACGAAGAGTAGCCCCCGCTCGCTGCAACTAGAGAAAGCCCGTGTGCAGCAACGAAGACCCAACGCAGCCAAAAACTAAATAAAGTTAATAATTAAAAAAAGAATACAGGGGCTTCCTCCCGTCCTCACCCCTCCTTCTGACCTCCCTCAGCCATTATTGGTTTGGGAGGGCTGTAATGGGTTGTGTGTAGATGGAGAGAATTCATTCAGGAAGCCCAGCCCCCGTTTCCTGGCCCTGGGGGGTTCTCTCAAGCCCGAGCCTACCTCAGTCCCTGGTCTGAACACAGTGAGCCTTAGATGCAGGGCCGAAGGCCGTGTTGTGGGTTGAGGCCTCGGCCGTGCTCCTACTCCGAGGTGTCTAGGAAATGTGCGACACACAGCCCCCCCACCCCCGCCCTGTGCCTGGAGAGTCCTGTGGGGGGTGGAAGGACCTTCTCACTCCTTTCCTGCCCTGTTTTCCTTTTCCAGAACTCCCAGGAGCCCCCACCAACCTGGGCATTTCCAACATCGGCCCCCGCTCCGTGACCTTGCAGTTCAGGCCAGGTTATGATGGGAAGACCTCCATCTCCCGCTGGCTGGTGGAGGCCCAGGTAAAGCTGCCGGAGGAGAGCCCTACAGCCTGGGCAGCCTGCTCCCCGGCCTTGGCCGCACGCCTGCTCTTGAGAGCAAATCACATGTGTGTTTCAATCTGTGTGAGTTTCACATGCAATTATCAGAAAGTCAGATACACCAGAAATGCCCACAGTTCCACCTCCACCTCACCTGCGTACACACACACACACACACACACACACACACACACACACACACACACA